TTGAGTTACTTTCACCAAAATAACCGCAAAAGAATGGCTAGGTATTTTAAATGCTAAAATGTAGTTTAGTGCAGCTCATTATACATCCAGTGAAGGGCGATGTGTTATAGCATAACAACTGTTTAGGCCATTAAGGCTACTAACAACTTTTCACGGCTTAGTTGAATACTCGATTCTGATTGTAAATTCTTAACATGTGACACGTTGTTAATACAGTACAGACCACTGTCAAGGACTATAATGAAGGTTGCTAAGGAGGATCAAGAAAGAGAAAGGAAAATAGGTTAAAAGACGGAGCGCTGGACGTCAGATAAATCACCAGAAGAAGGCAGAGAGGAAGTAAACAATAACAGGACACATAATGGGCTCTGTATTTTGTTTAGTATATGGCCATGTACAGGCCCGGTTCCAGAACAAAATGACTTGGGGTGCATCTGAGATTACAGGGGGCGCAGCAGTAGTAGGTTTACATGAGCAATAGTGGCCGGCAACAGCAATGAAAAATATCATTGATGTTATGGTCCCAATGAACAGATTATGGCATTTGTTATGTTTTGAAACCAAGCAAGTGAGAACATTTGTGTGTGTTAAAAGTGCAATGCTGAAATATTTCATATAGTCCAAAGTGGACTATGGCAAGGAAAAGCTTAAAAACTGTAGTGATAAAACAAATGACAACATATTGTAAATCAAGGCAAATAATATTTGAACCAGCTCATGGTTTGAAATGTCAAACATTGAAAATCAAAAGTATTATTAAAACCATGTACTACATCATCACCTTGGTCTCATCATATACTCTGGGAAGAGAATATTTACTGTGCTTGAAAACTGGTATCACATCATCATGTGAGGTTGACTTTGTGACCTGGAGAACATTTCAGCTGCAACATTAGCTTGTTGATAAGCTTGGGATATGAGATCTTTTTGTAGCCATTCGTGGTGAAGGCATCTGTGCTATTGTATGCATTATTTTTGACCCAACATTTCTACAGGCATGGCAGAATATGGCACAATTTTTACATTCATATTCTAGCCATTGTCTATTTTTATACCACGAGCTGCAAAATGACCGCCTTACCCCACTGTACAGGCGGGTACTTGTTTAGATATACCTGGGCAGGCTCTGTTTTGCCGAGGTCTCCTTGGCACCTGCGGGCCGCAGAGGGGCGGCGTAGTTTCGGGCGACGAAGACTGCTGCTCCGGGGGCGAGGGCGGCGAGTCAGGCGGGAGTAAGCTACTGTCCACGACGGCTGGTAACGTAACGTCCCCATCTGACCTGTTGCTACTGTCTGCAGTAGATGCAGTGTTGCTGGCGTTTAGTGATGGTTGCTTTAACCATTTTCGTATAAATGATTATCCACAGATGTGTGTCACTGCTGTGGAAGCACTTTGGAAATGATGCACGCGCAGCGGAGCAGGTCACGCGCACCTGACACAATTTGTTGTTTGTATTTTTCGCTCCGTTCTCTTTTTTGAATAGAGGGTGCAGAACATTCAACTGGGGGTGCAATGCATGCCTATGCACCCCCGAAGATCCCAACGTGAAGCCTGAAGGGTAAACACCAGGTTTACTAATCTAACCTCTGAGGCCTGTACTACGAAGCCGGATTTTCGCTTAGCCGGCTGACTTCAGGGAAAACTCGGGCTTTCCGGTCCTACGACGCTGGTTCTCTTTTTAGCGGGCTAGATCTCCATGGTAACTTATGCTGAGTGGCTAACCTCCTCGGGAGGAGGTTAGGTTGCAGGCTAAGAGATCAACTCAGTGAAAGCACCGCCTGCTGACCAATCAGAGCTCCGTGTGCGGAGTTTAAAGCTATCAAGTCATATTACAGGATAGAGGAAATACAGAAAAACTGCCGTTGCAGGAAAGACGGCCGGCCAAAATCAATTGACTGTGTGAACGTGAAAATTAATAGAATATCACCTCCCATCTTCAGAGCAATCTGACTATTATAACATTAGCGTTAAGAAAGCTTACTTAAATATCTGCCTCAACATAAGTAACCAGATCAGAGTAACATTAAGTACAGTCCGTGGCACTGTGAGTGCAGACGTCGATGTGTCCCATTATCATTCATATCATATCACATCATAATGTATCATATATTTCCTTATCTGAGTCAGCTGAGCCGTATCTGGCCGTGCAACACTCACAGTGTCACATACTGTATGCAGAAGTATTATTTTAAGCAACACATTAAGTTGACGAAACACTCGAGTCAAATGTAATTAAAGTCAGATCCACTCGTGTCTTAGACGGGGCAGTGATATCATAAACCTGTTAATGTACGCATTCAAACACTTTTTCTTTTACCAGCTGTATTCACCTTGCAGGTGCAGCTATGTGGCTTTTATCCTGGATAAAGTGTTTAAGTCATGGATGTTTAAAGTTTAACTTCTTCATATTTGACTAATATTAAAGTTCACTTTTCATTCAGGAAGTATGACGCTGCGCTGTCAGTACGCTTGTCCGTGTTTGAGATTGGTCGAATGCTCCAAATACCACCCCTTTCATGTGAACGCGCACCTAACTAGATAGGACACGGCTGGCTTAAGCGATCCACTTGATAACCAGCGTCGTAGTACAGTTTAGCCAGAGCGCGTATGTTTTGGATTGGGCCAACCGGCTAACTCAAACATATCCAGGTTAGGTTGAACCAGCTTCGTAGTACAGGCCTCTGGTGTCGGAATGTCTCGCTATGTTAGTACATTCTTAAAAAACAAAACACCAGAGGTGGGACCAAGTCATTGTTTTGCAAGTCCGAATCAAGTCTCAAGTCTTTGTGCTCAAGTCCAAGTCAAGTCTCAAGTCAGGATGGGAAAGTTCAAGTCAAGTCCAAGTCCTAAACTTTGACAAAACGAGTCTTAAACAAGTCATTATGTGCTTTTCACCAAATGTAATGACACCCATCAACAGAATAATACTTAATAATTAAACTGCTCTTTATTAGTCACATTAATACTGTAATAATCTATTTTCTCTCTGCTGGTAAAGTAACGTGTTTTCTTCTATTGTAAGAGGGATCAGTAAGGTAAGGCTACCGTGGCGGTTTGATTCAGAAGGAGTTTAATTGATAAGATCCTTGATGTTGAGGTAACCAGAATGTTTATTTCCACTGTGTACATGTGATAAGGGACCCACGATCTATCTTTATGCAAGGGATAATGTGCAGCGAGGCGGTCTCTATGGGGAAAAGAACACCTGAATCTAGATCCCTCTGCAGGTGGTACTTTAACTGTATTTTGATGCTAATACTTTTGTACTTTTACTTGTAACATTTTGAATGCAGGACTTTTTATTGTAACCGAGTATTCCTACACTCTGGTACTTTTACTCAAGTACAAGATCTGAACTTCTCCCACCTCTGACAATAAATCCTGAGTGGTTACCAAAAAAAACCCTGCTCTGAAGGTTATTTTCATTTTACAAATCCTGCACTCAGCTTTGCTTTCTCCAATATCATTGAAATGCAGCCAGAAGCTGCTTCTTTTTTCGGTTTTCGCTAATTTCTTGACTTTTTCCGACGCGCTTGCATTTAAATCTGTCTCCCCGTCGTTCTGTGTAGCTGGCCTGTACCACTACACCTGCTGTCTTTGGAGCGTCTGCCCCCCACCCTTCTTTCACATAATGGTATGATCCTAGTGTGTCCTCACATATGATTGGCCGCATGGTGGCCCAGCTAAATAAAGACCCACCCCTGCCTGCAAGGATTATCAGCAAGAGTAGAAGCGGCTGGAGATTCTGCTCTCCCCGACGGGAGTCTGCTCTTCTAGCGGCATCTCGCGATCGGCGTGTTGGAGACCTCTGAATTAAATGATCAAGTCACCTCAAGTCAGAAGGCTCAAGTCCAAGTCAAGTCCAGAGTCATTGGTGTTCAAGTCCAAGTCGAGTCGCAAGTGTTTTGTGATTTTGTCAAGTCGAGTCCAAAGTCATCAAATTGGTGACTCGAGTCTGACTCGAGTCCAAGTCATGTGACTCGAGTCCACACCTCTGCAAAACACCATTTAATTTCGGGTTAAAATGTGTTGTAACTGCGTTACTGAGCATTGTAACGAGTAATATATTACCCACATTTCATTAGTAATGCGTTACATTACTTCGTTACAGCAAAAAGTAATATATTACTGTAACTCAGTAACTTACGTTACACCCAACACTGGCTGTCAGTGCGCTTCTCCATGTTTGTGATTGGTCAAATGTTGCTAACCCCGCCCCTTTTATGTGAACGCGCACCTAACTAGATAGGACACGGCTGGCTTGAGCGATCCACTTGATAACCCGCGTCGTAGGACCGTTTAGCGAGAGCGCGTATGTTTTGGATTAGGCCAACCGGCTAACTCAAACATATCCAGGTTATGTTGAACCGGCTTCGTAGTACAGGCCTCGGGAATGAGACGTAACAAGTGAGTGTGAAAACAAAACAGGAAGTGAAAGACAATACAAGAATGACCAAACAACAACATGAAACGTGACTGACTTAGCACTTTTGACGGTGCACAACAGATAGAAAGCTACATGTAGCGTGCACAGAATGATAGTCACACAGGCTCACTCCGGTGACATTTTAAAGGTTTTCTGAACAATGCAGAAAGCCACATTCATGTCCACATGGCGCTAACTACTACAATTTCCGACTCTCATTTTCTTCTCATTGCAAACACACTGTAGCAATACTGATACCTATTGGCAATCATTTGAAATGTATAAACAACAACGCTGGCAATAAACAATATTACTTGCTAAACTCTTAACTAAAATGTAAAATGTCTTCCCCAGGACACAAAGAAAATGCAACAATAGCCTATTATTTTACACTATTCAATTATCACCACAAACATATCCTGCATAACATGACTGTTTATGCCACATACACATATGAATGATTTTATTCATTAAATACAATTATAAAAAATAAATAAAGAGGAATTGCAGCTGAAATGTAGGGGCAAAAGTAACACTGTGGTGTCTATGTTGCACAAAATGTGTGTGTGTACAGGTTGGCGTCCGTCCTTCAGGTTCTACAGTAAGTGGCTGTCTCTGCTGGTCTCTGTGTGTTGTCTGGTCATCATGTTCCTGCTCAGCTGGTGGGCGGCCCTCATTGCCTTCGGCATCGTCATTGTCCTTTTGGGATACACACTCTACAAGAAGCCTGGTAAGTTCACTCATGTAACCCTTTAACTGCCTTTAAAAAGCTATGGAAAAATTATTTGTTTGTATTTTTTTATCAAATGGGCCACAAATAACCACAAACAATTTTATTTTTTTGACTGACCACAGTTTTGTTTTTATGAGCCTCTACCAACTGGTCGAGCTGGCCTTCTATGGTAAAAGTGCATTTTCAACAATCATCATATACAGTACAGTATTTGTATGCATCAAACTCAAATAAAACACAAACTGAAATACATTTGTTTCTTTTATGGAAAATGAGCAATATATACAACCAGATATATTCATAAAAGATAATAAATTATAATTGTTAAAAAAAAAAAAAAAAAAAAAAGACTTGCTCATCTTACTGTATATGCTGAATTGGCCTAACAGGAAACCACTGGCCTAACAGCAAATGTCTATATCCTGTGTTGGCCTAACTTGCTCATCTGTGTGCAACTTTGGGCTGAATGCCATGCATGAAAGGTGCTATATAAATTATTATCGCTCTTTCACTCTGAGACTCATAAGGCAGTACTAGATTTAGTAATCTTACCATGAATCTAGCTATTTATTTACCATATTTTATTGGAAAACATCTCGGAAACTCTGAAAAAGTCATTTTGCTAGTTTACCATAAAAGGCCAATTCGACCGATTGGTTGAGCATATTTTCAAAAAAATAATTACACCCTTGTTAAAACTTTTTTTGTGCATCAAGTTATCTAAATATGTTCAGTCAGTACTCTGACACTAAAATATGTCAAAAATGATATGGTTACCTTACAAAAGTTGACCAAAAAGAGTGATTTCTTCAGCAGTGATTTTTAGCATGCCAACTTTCTCAGTGGAAGCTACCTGAAGGGCTTTCTGTTCGAACCACAGTGACATCTAGAGGTGGTTTTGTGCATAACATGTCAACCAAAGGGTAGAGCTGGCTGAATCAGATGGAGTTAAACTTTTTTATTTTTTTTCCAACAAGATATCAAGACACAAAATGTGCTCTACCAAATGGTGGCGCTGGCAGTTAAAGGGATAAAGTGGGATAAACCATAAACAGTCAGATGTCATTAGCCTGCCTCTTCTCCTCCACCCTCACTCTGCTGCCCCCCTCTGTGCAGCCGTAAACTGGGGCTCCTCGGTGCAGGCCGGCTCCTACAACATGGCTCTCACCCAGTGTGTGGCCCTCAACCAGGTGGGGGACCATGTCAAGAACTACAGGTCGGTGACAGGATCCTATAGTTCCTTTCTGGAATGTTTATTTTGTTGCTTTTTGGAATTTGTGTAGGGATTAAATCTCAACTAAGTAACTTGTTAATGTTCCACTATCTGGTGTTCATCGACGAAATATTGCTTGGTCAAGGATGTCGCTTACCGTAGTTCCGGCATAGTGTGAGGAATAGCTGGCTGTTCAATACAAACATCCATTTAACTGGCTAAGAAGATCAACACTAACTTTGTTTACCCATACCTGTTTAATATGAGGCTAGGTGGTCTAGAGATACTATATTTTCAATGTCTGTTATCCTCGGCCTTTGCATGGTTAGACTGACCTTTGCAGCTAGACTAATCCTCGTTAATTTTCCTTCCTAAATGTTATCAATTAAATTCGACAGGAGTTTGAAAGCAGAGGACAGAGAGTGATTATGTGGAACCACTGCACTAATGGCGCTTTTCCACTGCAGGGCCTCGCTCGGCTTAGTACGGTATGGCTAGGCCTTGTTAGGCCTTGTTAGGACAGGCTCACTTTATGCTGCGTTTCCATTACAGTTTAGGAACTGGGGTAGTAACTATAGTAACGCAGTGTAGGCGGAGCCGTGGCGTCATCTTCAATGTGAAACACAAAACCAACATCAGCCGTTAGCTGTTAGCCCTCAGAGCTCACAGCTCCTCATATCTGTTCAGAAACTAGACAAAAGTTAAACAAGTACAAACCACAGACTGTCTGTGTCATGGCGAATACAGTCGCTGGTTCATTTATGTCTGTAGGCCGTTGTTGTGAGTGTGGACGGTCGGAGCATATACAACGTTAGCTTAGCCGATCTCCATTCAGAAAACACGCATTTTAAAAGGTTTTTCGCCTGCCGTCTGTCTGCAGACTTGTCAAAGCATTAATTCATGGTTTTTACTAACCGGTATCAGTATGTTGTTACTTTGGCATCATTTTGAAACGTGTATTACAATTAAATCACAGTAAAATATGTTCATTTTGTTGTAGTTGCCAGCGATTCTCTCACTAGTTTAGCATACTCAGCCCGGTTGTTGGCCCGGAAAGAACCTCGATTTTGGAGAGCCAGAAAACTGTGAAAAAGTACCCGCTAGCTGGAACTACGCCTAGTGGAAACGCAACCAAAAACAGGCCGGGCACGGCACACTTAAACAGCGCTCCGCGCTGTAGTGGAAATGCGCCATAAGTGTGGTTAGTGAGTTTAAAAGGTGCTTGCAGGTGTATTTTGTAACTGCCTGCTAGCAATAACTACATATTAACTGTGCATACATAGGTGGTATCAATCTTCACATATTACTCTTTGACTGCAAAATCAAGTTTACTGAAGTTGCTAAAAAGTAAAAAACCTCTCTTTATCAGTCTAAGTCAAGTGAAAGTCAAAAATGATAAATGATAGAATTAATGCAATTTCTAAGAGATGAATGAAAGTGTACATGTGACTGTGATTCTTGGCTGTAGGCCGCAGTGTCTGGTGCTGACCGGTCCTCCCAGCAGGAGACCAGCTCTGGTGGACCTGGTCTCCTGTCTCACAAAGAGCCTCAGTCTCATGATGTGTGGCAGTGTGGAGACTGTGAGTCCACCCCATCATGCACACACACACACACACACACACACACACACACACACACACACACACACACACACACACACACACACACACACACACACACACACACACACACACACACACACACACACACACACACACACCTCAGTGAACATTACATATTGATGATGTAAAAACACAAGAACAATATGTTTTTAAATACATGTTTATGAAAATGCTATGTTTCAGCAGTCGTGGAGGAAGTAGTCATATCCTTTACTTAAGTAAAAATACTAATACTACACTGCAAAAATACTCAATCATACTGTAGGTAAAGGTTCTGCATTGAGAATGGTAAAAGTAATTAAGTGTAATCAGGAAAATATACTTAAGTAAAAGTACTCATTGCAGAACAAAAATCACATTTGAGAAGCTGGAACTGTTAAATGTTTTTTACGCAGCACAATACTTAAACAATTATTAAGATTACTGCCAATTTTCTGTCAACCAAGTCACTTTTTTAGGTGTACTTAAGTATAATGTTGGAATGTTAACTCTAAATAAAAACATCATATTTGGGTAACACTTTATATTAAGGTACACAAATTAACCATCAACTAGTTGTTAAAGGTGGGGTAGGTAATTTTGGAGAAACCAGCTCGAGATCGCTAGAATTTGAAAATACACAGCCGGAAAAAATCTGCCACTTCCTTACAGAGCCCCTCCTCCAACACACACGAACGCGCACATGACCAATGAGGGCACAAGATAAGTTTGTGCACAGATGGAAGGCTGACAGGCAGGTAGGCCATCCAGTTATTTTAGCCGGGCCGGCTAAAATGATTGGTTGTGCTTTTTACAGTATTACGGCTTCCACAGATGACATTTTTGTATGGATTTGTTGACAAAGCACTTAAAATATTCATTGCTATCGGGATGTTAAGAGCATTCCATGGAATGCAACAAAAAGTGTCTCTCGAGCCGGTTTCTCAAACTTACCTACCCCACCTTTAATTAACATGCATATTAGCAGTATATTGGCTCTTTAGTAGTCATTATAAAACACTTATTAATGCCTTGTTCTACATGACCATATTCTACAAGTAATAAGCCATTAGTTGAGAGTTTATCCTCAATAACCCTCTAATTAGTGCTGATTTATTGCAAGTAAGGAAGTTGTTGTACATGAGTTTTGGTCTGCTCAATATGGGCCTAATAAGGCAGTAGTACCACAAGAATAGTAATTCTCCCATAATAACACTTAACAAATATGATCTATTCTTATGTAACAAGACATGAAACTATAAGTGTTAATTGTGTCTAAATAACTCAAAATTAGGTATTTATATCTAAGAACATGTTACCTATTTTAAAGTGAAGTCTTGTTCATAACCAATACGCTAGTAGTTTGACTCTAATTGACCTAAACAGGTTCCCTATTCTAAAGTTGCCTCCTCTTCACACTTTGTAAATACATTATAGCACACAACTACTGAAATTAACCTGAACAGTACATGAACAAAGTAGGCACACGTTGAAATATCTGTTTTATTAATGAACCACTATAGAGAGGTTCAAACACATACCAAAACATGTGAAGTTTCTCCAAGGCTGAGAACACATAGCAGCCTGTACTTTTTAATAAAAACAGATTTTTAACAGAGTTTATGTAGTTGTGATCATACTGTGGGACCTGCTTGTATACTTACACACTAGGTGTACTGTTCTCTCTGTGTTGTACTGTCTCAGTGTGAACATAGATTAAACAGCCAGCCAAACTCTTTTGAGAGCCAGGGAATGAGCAGCCATGCTCCTTTATTGACTTATTTGCAGTCCAAACTATAAAAAAATAAGTTACAAGGCACTTAATGATCTCATACATGCAAGTGTAACATACACAGATTAACACATAGGACCGCTAAGTGTAAACAAGGTAAATATAGCTAATGCTAGCTGTACAATAAGCATGTATACAGGCTAGTATGGCTAACAATAGCATGTATGCTAACGCTAGCGCGAATGCTAATGCAAATGCTTGCGCGAATGCTAACGCATTTTCTCATTGTGTTTAAACATCTCCACATGTCATCACATAAACACAATACATGTTACTAATCCTTACAGTGTAAGTGTAAGGCTCACACTTACATTACAGTCATTGCTTTCTAACGGAGTTGACCCTTTTACTCTTCAGGTTGCATAGGGGAAATTAGTAGCAGTCTACTCATGGATGTCTACTGCCATGCTATTCAGTTCACTTTCTCCTACTTCCTGTACCCGGTTTCCTGTCTAACCTTCAGTATACATTTTACAAAAATATAAATGTGCAAATATGAAACATACAGGTCAATATCACCTTGCTATTGGTAGCTGAACTGTCAATACCCCAAAACATATTCTTAGATATAAATACCTAATTTTGAGTTATTTAGACACAATTAACACTTATAGTTTCATGTCTTGTTGCATAAGAATAGATCATATTTGTTAAGTGTTATTATGGGAGAATTACTATTCATGTGCTACTACTGCATACATGCCAACCTTTCCAAATCCAAAAGAGGTAGGTTTGCGTGCAGCAAATGTGCATGCCCAAACTAGGTAATCAGAATAAATGGAACCCCAGTAATTACATGTAGAAACCATGTATTTAACATATATTACATCATTTTATGCATTTTTCAGAAAAAGTGGTAGTTTGGTAAACAGTGACATCAACGACATGTTTGGTCTGTAAAATGTCCAGAAGTAAAAGAATGGGAGATAAATATCCCAAAGTCTCCACATTTTATTATATTTTGTGTGTTTCTGGTCCTCTTTCAGTTGAGACAGTGTAGATGAAGGATGTGTCAGGATGTAGAACTCTTGTGTGAACATTGGATAAAGCCAGGTTCATATTCTTGTTTCATGTTGTTGACATATTAGTCAAAGGTTTGCACAGAGCGAAATATCTTTGTGTTGCGCCATAAATCAGAAAATACTGCATTAAAAAAGTCATTTCCTGCATGTTTTTGCAGTGTGATATAAATAATGTACAAGCTTTCAGATTGCTGTAGTTCACTAAGCAGAGACATTAACAACATGTTTGGTGTTGAAAATGTCCGAAAAAGTGAAAGAATGGGAGATAAATATCCCAAAATCTCAAAATGGTATAATATTTTTTTTGTGTTTGTGGTCCTCTTTCAGTTGAGACACTGTAGGATGCTTCCGGAAAAGACCAAACACTGGATGTCTTTCAGTCGCCAACATGTGTTTTCGAGACACTGATATTAACGGGGAAACCCTGCAGGACTCAAATGCCTCGTCTCTGTTCCCCTAAACTCTTTTGGGACTGATGACTGGTTATTATCAGTCCCGGGGGACTGCGGCAGGCTGGCTTGACTGTGTTTTCCGAAGTGGAGGCTGGCTTGACCGCAGTCCCGGGGGTAACGCTGCCCTTCCTCTGCACGTTGTTTCACTTTCAGAAACACAGAAGACTGTTTGTAGGATGGGATCACAGACACGCTGCAATCGGTTTCCGCTAAAAGTCGAGTCCAGTGTCTATGGAGTGTCATTTTAATTTTTTTATAATTTGGGAAGAATGAAATTCGGTAGGAAAAGCCGGCTAAATCGGTAGGCGATAGAAACATGTCAAAAGCGGTAGACTACCGCCCAAATCGGTAGGGTTGGCAGGTATGCTACTGCCTTATTAGGCCCATATTGAGCAGAGCATATTAAGACCAAAACTCATGTACAACAACTTCCTTACTTGCAATAAATCAGCACTAATTAGAGGGTTATTGAGGAAAAACTCTCAACTAATGGCTTATTACTTGTAGAATATGGTCATGTAGAACAAGGCATTAATAAGTGTTTTATAATGACTAATAAAGAGCCAATATACTGCTAATATGCATGTTAATTAACAACTAGTTGATGGTTACTTTGTGTACCTTAATATAAAGTGTTACCCATATTTGTATAATTCTCTTGTGTGTTAAAATCTGAATCTATAAAAGTAACTAGTAACTTAAGCTGTAAACTCAATGTAGTGAAGCTAAAGTACAATATTTCCATTTATATGGTATTGGGTTAGAAGTATAAAGTAGCACAGAGAGAAAATAGTAAAGTACTTGAGTGCATGTACGTAGTTACCTCCCACCACTGTCATACAGTCGATCCAATCATTTTCCATGTGACCCTGTCCCTCAGGCTGGTCCCTCCCCATCAGTACTGGAAGATGCGAGCTGTGAAGGTCATGTGATCTGGTTGAACCAACGGAAGGTCAAGTCATTCTACAGAGGTGTGGCGGCTGCAGATCTACGGTCAGGAGTTAACATTCTGCTGCAGGTGGGATTTCACCTCATCTGTTATATAAAGAACTGTCTCCATCTACTGAACTGTGTCGGCCCACTCATGGTGGCGTGGTAACTATAGGTCAAACAATTCTTTTCAGAACAAAACACAGTAGACAACCAGCTCCGGACCAATCGGCAAGGATCTTAGAGTTGACAAAATGCTGCCTTCACATTAAAATGAGAACTACAGCAGAGACTAGCAGCATCTTTACAAATAAGTGAAGAGACTCTTATAATATCACATGGCGTCTGTAGCAGGTGGATAGTTTGAGGAACATTATAGGTTGACTGTGTGAAAAGAAAATGTTTTATTGACACAATGATATAAATAAAAATACAAAAAAGATCACTGCACACTGCAAATAATGACCAACAATAATGATTTTTTTCATGCAACTTTTGGTCCCACAATGCTTAGTCATATCTTGTTATTATTTCCACTTTCTGCACTGACATTACATTAGCATAGAGCAGCGTTTCTCAAAGTGTGGGGCGATGTGATAGGTGGGTCGCGAATGGACGCGATGAACGGGAGATTATTATTATTATTTTTATTTTTTTTAAATACATGTTTTGGACCTCAGGCCGGAATCGAACCTGGGTCCTCGCGGGCGGTAGTGGACTGTTACAGCCGGAGACTCGCAACGGCGGGTGTTTGCGGCGGCGGATGCGGTATCGGCGCTGTGAAAGTCCACGGCATTACATTACATGTCATTTGTTAGACGCTTTTATCCAAAGCGACTTACATACATTCAGTACTGTGGACAATCCCCACAGGAGCAATTTGAGGTGAAGTGTCTTGCCCAGGGACACAACGACATGCTGACTGCAGTGGGACTCGAACTTGCTATCCCCTGATTCGAAGTCCAGCACAGCACACCATCCACTGAGCCACAGCCTGCTCACACACACACAACTGAAACCAAAATCATTTACACACATATGTACAAATCTCTCATACACACATGTGAAACGCTCACACACACACACACACACACACACACACACACACACACACACACACACACACACACACACACACACACACACACACACACACACACACACACACACACACACACACACACACACACACACACACACACACAGCGTTGCAGTCGGGAAGTTAAGCAATGTGGAGCGGCACCTCACCACTTCATAAGGAGTTTAACCGTGACACTTTTTCAAAATCCCGTTTGTGTCCCCCCACTTTACAAATAGGCCTATGTTTATTATTATTTTTTAACACAAGCCGTCATCGCCACGGAGGAGCACACAGCCTCTGTGAGCGAGCGAGACAGAGAGAGAGAGAGCAAGAGAGCACACCTTCATCTATTTAATATAGCCTTGTTGTAAAAAATAAAGTAAGAAATCATTCCAATGTGTACTATAGGACAGTAAAAAAAAAAAACAGTTTAAAAGGGGAGTGATTAGTAAAATATGCATAAATAGAAAGAAAGAATGCTATAGGTAACATAAGATAAGAATAAACAAGTTTAAAGTGGACCTATCATGCTATATTTAAATGATATATTGTAGGGCCATACCTATATAAGGTATATTTATACGTTTCTGTTTTCAAAATACCAAACAGATCATGCATTTTAGCCATGCCTCATTTCGCTCTATGTGCTGTTTGCTGTCTACGGGGCTGATTCTGCTGACCACGCCCCCCTGCAGGAGAGGTGAGCCGTGCTCTGATCAGCTGCTGGGCTGTCAGAAGAGGGGGAGAAAAAGAGATCTCCGTCCTCCGTGTTTTATTATATAGAGTCGTTATTCATTTGTTTTAAAGCTCAATAAATAACAAAGAAGACCTTTGACCGGCACTTTTCTAATTTTGTCCGGAAGATTTAAACTTTAACGGACATCTTGACCGGCGAAAGTAACTGAAACTGAAACTCTGCCGCACGGTCCCCTCGTTCCTTGGAAGAGGCGGAGAGGTGGGTGTTTGTCATCTGCTGGTGGACTAACCGGAGAGAATTACAGTGCTTGCCTCGATGGGGAGGGATTGCATTGAGCAATCCCTCCCCGCAAGCGTTTGCAGCGGGAGCAAACGCTTGCCTCGGGGAGGGAGAAAAAAAGCCACAGCGGAGAATAAACAGAAGGGTAACCATGGTAACTATGGGCTGGAAGTCTTCTTCGCTGCTTTTGTGGCAGACTACAGCGCCACTTACAGGCCTGGCATATGTACTACAGCGTCTCCAGCGCTTTCGAGCGGCAATGGCCGGCCGTGGCCCAACCCCACATTCCCCTGATAGGTGGAGAGTTGGCCCAATAGCCGTAGCGCCACTTCTGTGACGACATAGAAGTGTTCAAATCTGGATCAGTTTTTATCAGATCCGTTGCAGCCCCTTTTTTAGAGATTTGGGTATGGAGGAAAAGAGAGAGGGTTGTGTTTTCTGACACTTGGTGAGTTCCCTGGAACACCGGGGACACATATTCATGTATACAAGACGTACAAAAGTGCATTTTGCATGATAGGTCCCCATTAAATGATTTGTTATTGGTTGTGATCATATTCTAAAGATGTTTGGATTATTGAAAAGTGTACAGCTCCCTTTCATCTGAGTGTTGAGAGCTGTATCCATCAGTTCATGTTGTGCTCAAAGTGCACCAGATTGATGCATTTCACTTCAACATTTAAAAAAACATCTTCCAGGAGGTGAGGTCCACCTCCAAATAAAGCAGGTTAAAATAATTAAATTACATACATTTTCTTTTAGTAAACACTGAAAACGGGTCCCACAGACCCAAACAGCACACAAAGGTTAAAGGTCAGCATATAATAATGTTCAAATGTGCTAAATATATACACTGCAAAAAACAATAAAAAGAGGAGTAAAAGTAGCTCACGACTTGTTTTATTTTGTGAAAGTAGCTCTCATCCTAAAAAAGGTTGGTGACCCCTGCTCTAGATTATGTTCATCCATCATATAGTACACACCCACTATTCAACAAAATGTTAGTTTTGGAACACATTTTCAGTGTCTATTCTTTGTATATTCACTGCAGTAATTCATGAAAACCAGTAGTCCGAGACAGTGTTTACAGCTTAATAAAAATGTGGTGATGATTAATGGGTTTTGTGTTCATTTAAGAGCAGTTAAAACAGACCGGTCCAATTTGAGCGGGAACACCAAAGTAAGGGGGGAGAAATGAACACGACAGCAGGGTTAAAAATGAAAAACAAAAACACAATCCAAAGTCTGAACATGTAGCATTGTCTTCTTTTCATTTGTTGCTGACGTTAGTTAAACAGAACTGGTGAATCTCTCAGAGGGCCTGAGAGGTTGAACATGCTTTGTGACACAGACCTTTTTTTATCTCTTCTTCTCTTGTTGCTGTCTGTCCACCAGGGGGCAGGTCTGGGTCGTATCAAGCCCAATGTACTGCTGATGGGCTTCAAGAAAGATTGGCAGAGTGACACACCTCAGGCTGCACACAACTACATAGGAATACTGCAGTGAGTCCAGCGAGGATCCATTCACCTTTTTCTGTGTGCTAGTATGGCCGTAAGGGTATTTAATCCACGGCAAGTTCCAACACTAGTTGTACTAGTGTAAGCCAAAATGCTCATTAGTTAACTAGTAGGAGTGCCTTTTGACTTTACTTGTTGACAAGTTTTTCACACTTTCTTGAACTAGTTAGCTAGCTTAGGCCAAAATGTTAACTAGCTAACAAGCATAATCCAATGATTCATCAGTGATTTTGGATCTATCTAGTTAACTAGTGCAAATAATGTATGCCACTAGTTAACGTGTCTGCTTAGTTTCTGCTTCATTTTTTACTAGTTGACATGTCAGAGCTTTTACAGCTTACTAGTTAACTTGACTGTTAGTGTCACTCACTCCAGAGGTCCAGAGGGCCACTAGTTCATCAAAAAGCTGACTAGTTGGGACTTTGGTGCTACTAGTGCAGCTCCTGGCGGCTTATGTAGGAACTAGTCAGACAAAAGTGCCACTTGTTGCTGTAAAAGAGTGACTTGTAGAATTCTTTGTTCAACTAGTAAAACAGAGTGCCAATCTAATGTGACCAAATGTCTAATAAGTGGTCAACAAATAGCTAACTTGTGTAGGCTGCCATCTGATATCAAGAATATGGAATAAATACTCAAACGGCTTGCCATATGCTTGTGTGTGTGTGGTGTACTTCTGAACGATGAATCATAATTTTTGTAATAAAGCTTTTCTGTGTGTTTCAGTGATGCCTTCGACCTGCAGTACGGAGTGTGTATCCTGAGACTGAGGGAGGGGCTGGATGTCTCTCACACGGCTCAGTCACATAGTGAGAGCCTGGTTTCTCACTCAGGGGGGGGAGCACAATGACAGTAAACTCATGAATGACCTCCGACTGCTGCTGCTGCTGCTGCTACACCCGTGTTAACTAATGTCCACATCCATCTATTATCATTATCATTTACAAACTTTATATTAATCAATATACATAACAAGTGACACTGTTTTTATTTCAGTTAATCCAGGCTTTGATGAAGGACACGAGAGAATACCTGTCCCTTCCCGGATTCAGACAAGAACTTCATGTTTGTATATCCATTATCATATCATCTGGAGGTATATAGGATTGTGGGGAAAGAATGGAATGGGTAAAGGCGGGAAAAGGATGCATTCTAAAGTCAGGGGGGGGGTTCCGTCCAGATGTGATTACAGGCCCCAGTAACAAGAATCAGCCATAGGAGAGTTTTGCATACGATTTAACAGAAAGGCTTGAAGTGTGAAGGAAGGGAAGGATAAAGGGATGGGGAAAGGATGAGGTAGGAGAGAGAGTGGATGAATGGAAAGGAAACAGAGGGTGTGTCTAGACTTTAGAGAAGTTTAAAGGATGATGAGAGAAGTGGTTAAGGCCTGAAGTTAACTAATACATTTATTTTAGTAGAAAAATCAACTCTAAAAACATGTTGTTTGATCGAAGTTCCGGATGTTTAAGATAAGAATTACTTTATTGATCCCAATTTGGGAAATGTTTGCGTTGCAGCAGCATAAAAAGACAAGGCATTGTACATTAGAGAAATTAAAAGACTATAAATAAACAATCCAAAATGTAAACATCTCAAATAGAAATAAAATAGCATTAAAAAAGTAGAAAATATACAGGTTGAAATACAAATTTACATTAACAAAATATAAAGCAGGACATTACAGTATATATACATTAAGTGTGTAAGGAATGGAATATTAACTAGAAAATGCATTTCCTGCTGAAAATGCGTGTGAATGCTGTAAGCCGCGAACATTTGTTGCTGAACTTGGCTGAAAAGGCAGAAAAAGCTGAATATTTTAATAGCTGAATGGTGTCTAGCTGTATTTAGCTACATGCACCAAGTAGGCCTAAGTGTGTTGCTGAACTTCGAGGAAAAATGCAGAAAAGTGAAATTATTTGGATTAAAATTGTTAAAGCTCAAATGCATTGCACTGACCTTTTGTGTACTTTCGGGTCAATAATGTGGCTCTTTGGGCAGTTTATCTGAAGGTGTGAGGCTGGTGCTCTGAGGAAAGATGAGGCTGAATTTACAATGGGCCTTAATGGAGACATGTGAAAAGTCTCAAGGGGCATTTTGTTGAATTTCTTTGATTATTTATTTTTATTTTTCAACCTAAGAGAGGTTTTCCTATGTTTTTCATGAAAAATGATGTCCTAAGAGTGTGGCAGGTTTTAAAAAAATGTTTAAGGCGAATTTCAGGCTCTCCTACTTTTGTTGTGAGATCAAAGCACTCCATGATGGATAACAGCCTGTTAAGTGTTGAGGACTGCTCCATGAATGTAAAAGATTAAACGAGAAAGAATGGTGTCCGATTTAGCTAAGCGCAGTGTCAGAGGTGGGAGAAGTACTCAGATCTTGTACTTGAGTAAAAGTAGAAGTACCCAGATCTTGAACTTGAGTAAAAGTAGAAGTACTCAGATCTTGTACTTGAGTAAAAGTAGAAGTACCCAGATCTTGAACTTGAGTAAAAGTAGAAGTACTCAGATCTTGTTCTTGAGTAAAGTAGAAGTACCCGTGTAGGAATACTCTGTTAAAAGTAAAAGTCCTGCATTCAAAATGTTACTCAAGTAAAAGTAGAAAAGTATTAGCATCAAAATATAGTTAAAGTAGCGACAGTAAAAGTAGTCATTGTGCAGATTGGTCCATTTCAGAATAATATATATGATATGTTTTATAATGATTGATCATTAAAGTGTTCTCAAAGCTGGTAAAGGTGCAGCTAGTTTGAATGACTTTGTATACTGCAGGGTAGCTTGTGCATTTACTCCAGGTGGAACTAAAGTCTGATTTAACACTTGATTATATTTCACATCATTCATCCAGATCTGTAAAGTAACTATTAAATACATGTAGTGGAGTAAAAGTACACCATTTACCTCTGAATTGTAGTGGAGAAGAAGTACAAATTAGCAAAAAATGGAAATACTTAAGTATAGTACTTGAGTAAATGTACTTAGTTACTTTACACCACTGCCCAGTGTTGACTTGAATTACCATTAAGTCTGTTAAAGTACAAATGTGGGATGGAAGTTTTGAGTTATGAGATCATGCGTTAGGGGGGGCACCCCGGTCTGTCTGTCGTAGAGAATTAACAGACAAACTGTCTGAATGTGCCGGTTATAAATGTGCTTGGAAGGTGATTAGAGTTGAGTTGGGTCCTGCTCCCGAACCTAAGTTAACTAATTAACCTTATTTCTTAAATGTATCATGGCAAATGGTCAAATCTACTAAACCTGACCTGAGTGGCCCTTAAATCTGGGACAATTAAAACTGTCAATGGCACTGAATAGAACATGTTTAACATTTGTGAACTTAAAAACCTGCTAATCCAATTAACCGATTTTATTATAATGTAAAAAATTACTTTTTGTTGTACATTCAAAATTGTTTGCAGCTTCTGAATTCATTGAACCAGGACCTCAGTTGAGTACAATGTTCCAGAAAAATCAAGGGAAGAAGACCATCGATGTGTACTGGCTGTCTGATGACGGAGGTCTGAACATCTAACCATCCATCACATCTTCTTCTTACTTCAAGAATATTATCACAGGTTGTACGTGTGTGTGTGTGTGTGTCTGTCTGTCTGTCTGTCTGTCTGTCTGTCTGTCTGTCTGTCTGTCTGTCTGTCTGTCTGTCTGTCTGTCTGTCTGTCTGTCTGTCTGTCTGTCTGTCTGTCTGTCTGTCTGTCTGTGTGTGTGTGTGTGTGTGTGTGTGTGTGTGTGTGTGTGTTTTAACCAGGTCTGACCCTGCTGCTGCCCTACCTGCTGACTCGGAGGAAGCGCTGGGCCAGATGTAAGGTCCGAGTGTTTGTGGGGGGGGAGACAGAGCAGAAGGACGAGCAGAGAGAGAAGTAAGTACTTTGATTTAATTGTGCCTTCGAGATGTAAACAGCTGATGATGAGCGCTATGACGACTGAAAGCCCCAGACAGTGACAGTGAGTGAGTTAACAGATATATGAGAAGTAAAGCCGAGGTCAACTGACGGTACATATGATAAGGCTTAATCATTAATACCTCCAGTTAATTAAAACCAGCAAAACTTATTTTGTGGCAACTAAGGAGACAGAAACAAGGTATTTAAACAACTCACATATACTCCACTGAAACAGTTGACATGGCAACATTTTCCTAAAATACCTGTTTACACATTCAGCAGAGCCGTGCTAGGAGAAATGTTAGTCGTGATTTCAAGACCACTGCAGGGATTTACAAATGAGAAAACCTAATTGTACATACATTTACATTCTCTTCTCAGGGTGTTGGCACTGATCAAGAAATTCCGCCTTGGTTTCCATGACGTTGAAGTGCTTCCTGACATCTACCAAAAACCCCAGCTGGGAAAGTAAGGCTGCCACAAGTTGAGAGAATGAAGCAAAGCACCGACAACAGGGAAGAGATCGGCCTTGTGCGATTTGAAATGTGATGATTCATGTTGAGCTGGGTTAACCATCTTTGAAAAAGCAAAAATTCCATGGGGAAAATATGTATAGATACTGTAGAGTTAATGATGGATCAGATCCTAAATGTTATAACACCCAACGCCTTTATGTTCACCAGCTCTTATAAATTGTCCATATTTCACAAAACAAAAACATTGAAATTGCCAGGAAAAGTGTTTAAAAAACATAGTTAAAAGGAAGGAATTCATTCAGACTTGTTTTACTGTAGAACTGTCTGCAGTTACTCATGTTCCTGGCTTGTCTCTGTGTGCTTCAGTGTTCATCAGTTTGAGAATATGGTGGGTCGCTTCAAGATTGAAACAAATCCCAAACAGGACTCTGATTGTGATCTACCAAGACAAGAGGAGCCGTCGATGATCACTGACCAGGATCTGGAGAGGAACAGGGCCAAGGTTTGACACACACACACACACACACACACACACACACACACACACACACACACACACACACACACACACACACACACACACACACACACACACACACACACACACACACACACACACACACACACACACACACACACACACACACACACACACCAAACGTTTTCCCCTGTCTTTTTCTTTAAATGTTGTACTTTCTCTGCGTGATCCAGTCTCTTCGTCAGATTCGTCTAAGTGAGGTTCTGCAGGATTACTCCAGAGAAGCTGCTCTGATTGTTATGTGAGTACGGTCATTTTTATTTTTAGTCCATGAGAGTTCTTCTTTATTACAAAGAAGACAATGCAGAGTTACTACATGGCTCTTGATTCTTAGCCTGCCAGCATACACAGGCCCAGTATAATCACTTTGTCTTTAAGTATTTACTTATACATTTTGTATTTCATTATAAGTAGTAACAAACTGTTCAAGTTATTAATTTGACTCTAATTACTACTGACAGCACCATGCCAGTGGGGAGGAAAGGGGTGTGTCCCAACACTCTCTACATGGCCTGGCTGGACTTCCTGTCTCGAGATCTGAGAGCTCCCATCCTATTGGTCAGGGGAAACCAGGAAAACGTCCTCACCTACTACTGCCAATAAATGTCTCCATGAGAACAGTATACAGCTCTGGAAAACAATAAGAGACCACTGCAGCATTATCAGTTTCTCTGGTTTTACATATAGGTATGTGTTTGAGTACAATGAACATTTTTTTTATTTTATTCTATAAACTACTGACAACATTTTTCTGTGTTGGAATTCAACAGTCACTGAAATGGAATGGCTGCAGAGATTGAGATTTAAGAAACATTTGGAGTGGTCTCTTCATTTTTTCAAGAGCTGTAGATACTGAACCTCAAAGTATAACTCTTTAACATTGTGACAATTTCAGATTAATGTATAGATTTAGACATGTCGATGCCTTGATGACTAAAGATGATCATCTAATCCTTATATTAATCCTTATCTAACCAGTAACATGTAATATTAATGAATGATTCCTTTAATCACCATGTTCTGGACACTTAAACCTGTTGATGATGCACACATTAAAGAATTCCTGCAAATGGGAAACATTTAAACTGAAGCCATATTGATTGTTTGTGGATAGAAAAAAACGGTTTTATTAATGCTGTAATTTGTACGTCATCTTATTTGCCAAACCACTTTGATTAGATTTTCAGCAGTATTTTTATTTTCACATCTGAAGCCTCAAATAACCAATAAATATGATGGTGTGTGCTTTGTCTAGGATAACTGGATATTGGTTGAGATCATGTGCAAGTCAATGTATGTCTCGGCTGATGTAACATCACTCATACAACTTCAATAGATTAAAAAGAGGCTACTGTAGTTGCTTTTACAAAGCATGTAGGCTACTGGTGCATGCATACCATTGGGACAGAGGGCTTTGTTATAGTCTTTTTTGAGGGGAAATATTAGCAACTGCTGAAGCACCCCCCAGGATAGCCATAGCACCCACTAAGCACCCCCAAGAAATGTATGCGTCTTTTTTTTTTTTTTATGTGTGAAATTCATAATTTGAAAAGGATTGATTCGAAAATAATATGCTAAGTACAAGTAGCCTACTTCTGGGTCTCTGTGTTTCATTCAAGCTCTGCTCTGTGTGTGTGTGTGGCACGAGCCATTTTGTGTGCATGTGCGAGCGAGAGAGAGAGAGAGCGCGCGCCGGAGATCGTTGTGGTTAGCATCTGGTGCTAGCTACGCTAACGGATATAAGGAGCGATACCGATACTCTTATCGATACTTTTCAATAATTTGGCGCTCAAAATTATAGACATGATTACAAGATGTGAAGATTAAACAACAGTCATTATATTGTAATTTATTTGTATTTATTATTTAATGTAACTTTTTCAATGTCATACCAAGCAGGTCTGAGTGTGTTTGACAGTGTGTCTCTGGAAGGGGGGCGGTAATAGGGGCAGTTCATAAATCCATGTAAACATGACCATTATTCAGTTAAAACGAGACGCTGCGTGCGCACCTCCTAAACCGGAAGCTCCGGTCGGCTAAACATTATAATCCGTTTATTATTCATAATTGTAATGATGGATTATCAGTAATCATTTTAAAGTTACACAGAGACATTGGATTAACCGTTGTTATGCCCTTGAACAAAACTTTTGATCACAAAACAGACATAATTATCATCATGGCTACGTAAAGTGAAGTTGTTTTCTTGCTCTTTCCTGGCTGCTAGTTCAGTGAGTTTTGGTCGTACAGGGATGAGACTTATACCAATGGAATCTGTGGAATCTCAGCTTTCATGATATGTTGTTTGTGCAGATAAAATGACGTAGAAAAGATCGCTTTTGCCAGTTATGTGCTAAAGTAGCCATTAGCCCCGTTAGCCCGTTTTGCTAAATGTTGATTTAGACTCTTGGTGTTGGACTTCTGTTCCGTGTAGGTAAAATGGTTAATATCGTCTGTTAGCTGAGTGTCTTCCAGTTAAGTGGGTATGCATCATTAATAGGTTTTTAAATGTTAAGAAGCCTTGAGACGCTGTTTCTAGCAAGATGTTGCGTCTGCCCCTATGGTCTGCCCCCGGGAGTCTCAATAATGAGAGCGCTGTTAGGAGAGATGACGAGTGGCATTCACAGTGGCCAATCAGAGTGGTACTCAAACCGGATACGTCACACGGGATGAGGGTTCCCAACCAACCAGAATTGTTTAAACTAAGGAAGTAGCGTAATTCATATACCGATAGCAGCACCGTTTGTCCAGCGGCTTAACGGTATACCGATACCTTCCAATCAGGTACCGGTACTGACTTAGTACCGTTTCTCGATACCCATCCCTACTCTCAGTGTTTAGATAGTTAACTTTAGTCTAAGTTATCTCAGTCGGTCTCAAAACGGTTTGGTCACGATTAATGTAAATAAGTATTTCTGAGGCACACGTTTATATGATCATTATACTGTAGGTATAAAAAAATAAGAGCATAAATGAAAAACGGGTATGAAATACTATATGACAGTAAAACAAGAATACAGTTTGAAAGGGGAGTGATTTGTAAAATATCCATAAAGAAATAGAAAATCGGTTTACAGTTCTGTTTCATATGGGTGTTGAGAGGTGTATCCATAGATCTCTTAATTTTGCTCTCAAAGTGCATCAGATTGATGCATTTAAAGGTGGGGTAGGTAAGTTTGAGAAACCGGCTCGAGATCGCTAGAATTTGAAAATACACAACCGGAGAAAATCTGCCACTTCCTTATAGAGCCCCTCCTCCAACACACACAAACGCGCACATGACCAATGAGGGCACGAGATAAGTTTGTGCACAGATGGAAGGCTGACAGGCAGGTAGGCCATCCAGTTATTTTAGCCGGGCCGGCTAAAATGATTGGTCGTGCTTTTTACAGTACTACGGCTTCCACAGATGACATTTTTTTATGGATTTTTTGTCAAAGCACTTAAGATATTCATTGCTACCGGGATGTTAAGAGCATTCCATGGAATATAACAAAAAGTGTATCTCGAGTCGGTTTCTCAAACTTACCTACCCCACCTTTAATTTCAATATTTAAAAAAAAATCTTCCCGGGGCAGCGTGCCCCCCGGACCCCCCTATAGGATGCTAGGTCCACCCCCCACTTGTAAAAAAAATAGCACTTTACCCCTGCTTAACCCTGTAAAGCCCAAATATAGAAAAACATAATTTTTTTTTTTTTACCTTTCAGATGTTATTGCTGCTATGGAGCAGAAATGAAAGAGTTTTCAAAATGTTTACGTTTTGGTAAGTTTTTAGGGAAATGCCAGGATGTGAGAGGATGCTAGATCTGCCTGAAACTGTCTCCTGGTCAGGATCTCCTGCTTTGGCATCTTTAGAGCTCTCCCTTTTTTCTTCAAGCTCTTCTCCTCTTCAAGGTTACAGTTGGATAAAAGCACCTGCCTGGCTGTTCCCACATAATGAATCCCACGATCAAGGAGCTTCACTACCAATGGGACACAGGTGAAGTAGTTGTCTGTGTAGATCTTGTAGTTCTGACCTTCTGGAAGCGTGGAGGCAAGCTTCATCACAACATCACCTGACAATCCAAGTTCAGACGTGGCTCGTATCCCATTGACACTGCCTTGGTACACATCAAAGTCACAGATCATTTCAGAGATTCCAGTTCTCACCCACTTTCTCCGTTTTGGATGGCAGCAATCACATCCTGCACACTGAATCGAGGACCTCTCTTTGCTGGTGGCATTCTGAAATGGAAAAAGTAATTAATAAATATGTATCAATAATACATATGCTTATTATATTGTAGTAGATTACCTGAAGGAATAGATAGGGTGGAGGGACAAGTGTTCATTCTGTCTGGCTTAGCCTATTATCATACTAAAAGGAATGCATGCACCACCCCCCCCCCCCTTCCAGGTGTCCCGATGCAACAAGCATCTGAATCCTATTTACATTGTACACTTGAGTCACACAATACTACTTGGCTTAGCCTATTATCATAATAAAGTCAATACCTACACCCATACATACAGGTAAACCAGTTCAACAAGTCACACAATCCTGTCTGGCTAATGATAACAGGCTAATTATCAGGGACGTGCACAGGTAGGGGCTAATGTTGCCCGGGCAACAGCCCGTTTGCCATTTTTGTCTGACCTGCCCCTCTGGAGAGAGCGAGAGTTTTTTTTGCTTTCTATTGTGGCCGAATCAACATGATAAGCCCACAATTAGTATTGTAGCATCTCACTGCGATAAAACACAACTTGTCAGCGCTGTCATCTGCCCCCAGTCACGTGACTTAGTTTGTTTACAATCTGACAGCTGGAAGCAAAGGAAAGCCCTCAGAGTCCGGCCTCATATGGCTATGGTGAACACACCAAATGCCTGCCTGGCGTTAGAGTATAGGGGACAAACCAGGGGACTTTACTTCCTCTTGACACCGTCGGTTATTTACAAAAAAAACACCTAAATATACTTGTTATTGTGCTTCTCTCTTTCTGTGTCTTTTACTCTGCTCCGTAAACTCCCTCGACGGGGCCGTTCGCTCTCTTTTCATGATCGCCCTCTCACGGACAACAGTTCACTGTCCCGCTTCATTGTAGGATTTCTGCCATGTCTCTACTTTAGTTTGACCATCTCTGTTATTAAGTTATGGGATTCTAAATAAATAAGTAATTAGATACCTTACCGTTACTGTGCTCACAAAGAATGATACGAATAAGAATAATGCGTATTGAACTGGTTTAATTAATTAGTGAGTTTATTTAAGGTAGCCTAATTAGTTAGAAGCCCTGTTTTATCAGTAGCCTATGTCCGCACAGCAGTTACAATGGTCTGGTCAAACTACATTAAAACAGGATTGTCCCCATTTTTTCTTTAATAGTTACTAACATTAGATATTTTAATGATATGGACCGCAAAACTAAAAATGTGCCTGAATAACGAATTTAGCAGTTGGACATAAAAGTCAACTGAGTGTCACAGTGTTGTGTTTTTATTTTATGAACCTTTTACATTAAAAACAAGTTAGAATATTCAAAAGGTCTTATGTTTTTTTTCGGGGGGGAGGCCCTTTTTCCAGTTTAGAGCAATAGCCCCTCCAAATGTCTGTGCACGTCCCTGCTAATTATCATACTAAAAGGGATACATCCAAGTGTCCCAAAACATTTCAGAAACTGTTTCTGCCAGAACCAGAGTTAAATGTATTTTTGTAACTAATTAACTGATAAGATACAAGTAGAGTTTACAATATTGCTACAGATATAATTTCACATACTTTTATCAGAAATAATGTATTAATTTATTCAATTCTGGTCTTAATTCAAAATCTTAACAGAGGACACATTTAGAACTTAGTTATAGTGAATTATCTTTATAATTATATTTCTATTAGTGTTTTATTTCCATATGTGAACATATAAGAAGGGCGGGGTCCATGACAGGTGCTCATGCTATTTTGACTACCACACTGACCCAGTGTTGTAATATTACAACAAAGACATAAGCTGCTCAAAATCAAATTTGATGAATGTATTCCACAATGACTAAATATGTACATGTTCTAATCTATACATTGTAATAATCACAAAAAAAAACATTTGAGGCATTTTACTAACTTGAATCTGACAAATCCAGTCCCCCCGTTGACAATTTACGTGGGCTGGTCTGGGTGAGATTCCAGGGCTGTTTTTTAGTCCCAGTCCGCCCCTGACTGTAGCCCGGGACATTAATGGGAAACCCTCAAATTTGTTTGAGCACCCTCTATGAAACGTGAAGCTACCCCACAGCACCCCCAAAAGAAAATATCTGGCAACTCCACTGATAGGCTATAGAATACATAAACAGCTGAAATCAATTTTTTCAAACCGGGGAAATTTACTTACACCTACGTACTTTTCAGTTGGTAAAATTACATCAGATTAAGCAAACTCATTACTCCATTAGTTATTAAATAAACGATCTTCGGATCTTCATAATGAATTACTGCGCATGCCCACAGGACAAAGGTTTATTGAGCAGCTTCCACGTCTGAGCCGGAGCGCAGTGTAACCAATCAGCGGCGGCCACAGAGTGTTTTGAGACAACCGACAGCCCGCCCCCTCGCTGAAGTTGCTTATACCAGGCAGCAGGAAGACTTTTAGCACAAGTTTCTGTTTAGACAAAATCATTTTCGTCGTTTCTTCTATGTGCTGATAGACTGTATCAGCAGGGCTTTTTCTTTTTTGACAACTACAGTTGTAGTGAGTCGACAGTATCACCCGTAGACTACAAACTGAAAGATAGTAAACATGGATGTGGAGGACACTGAACAAAAGACGATAACTCTTCTGATAAAAACGCCCAACCAAGCTCAGGAGGACCAAGCCGTGGAAGGCGTTTGTCCGAACTGGACTGTGAAGGATCTAAAAAGGCATTTGTCGATCGTTTACACAACTAGACCGGTGAGTTTTTATGAAGCGGATAAGTTAGCTTGCTAATGTTAGCGAGGTGAGCTCCTGACAGGCTGTGCTGTGGAATGTCTTAACTCTGAGTGACAGGCGGCACCATGAGTTAATGTGGCTGAACCTTTATACAGTATATGGGCTGAACCGGCTGCATCAGGGCTGGGAGAAACATATATTACCTAAATACATCATTTAGAAAAGTTATGATAAAATATACTTGTATACTATAGCATTAGTGGTGGGTGATATGTGCAACATCTCATATCACAGTTTATGTCATTTTATATAATGGTTACAATATATGTAATATATATATATATATATATATATATATTTATGAATGCATTTAAGAAATGATTTCAAAACCCTTGTGTACCTTATCATATTTCATTATTTTATTTATTATTTGGAACTCCTGTTTCAAAACAGTAAAACAAGGCCAACTTTTATAGATAATAAATTGCACTTTTATGTTATATTATGCCACTTAATTATGTGTTACAAATCTATGCAGGTCTATGCACTGGATTTTTCCCGTTTACACTACTATGTACATTTGTGTGTATCTAAATATGTCACCCTTGTAGTCACTCCGCTGTTTGTGTAACTGACTAAACGTGTTTCTCTGTAGGCTACAAGTGACCAGAGACTGATCTATGGTGGTAAACTGCTGCCAGATCATCTGCCCATTAAAGATCTCTTCAGACCGGTATGTGAGAGCATATGGCTCTGTTTACTGTACTTTGGCATGTGTCTTTTGGGAGAGTTTTTCACTTAATGGGCCTAATGAAAAGCGGTTGCTTCACATATTGTGGCATATGTTTTATATTGGACTATATAACCAAAACTAACTCCACTTAGCATTCTTACTAAAAATATTGTCTTTAAATTAAGTACGGGTGTACTGTATGAAGAACACAACAATGTTTTTCAAAGTTAACTGATTGTCAGAACAACATTTCATCTTGATTGGGCCAAATGATGTCCAACGTAAAGACTTGAATATAGCATTGTGTTTTACTATGTAGCTTTTCTAATCAGACATTTATGTCCGTTTCTCAGACTGACTCGTTTCCCACACTGCACCTGGTGTGTGCTACTCCGGCCCAAGGCCCCCTGGGAGCTAGACCTAAGGTAAGAGTAGTCACACGGAACTATTCTCACAAGCTCAACAGAATCTTCCCAGTTATTTTTCAAGTGGGAAGTGACATTTCTTTTCGTGACAGCAGGTGTTTGTTCCCAGCACACAATTGGTGTCATGCATGCCCAAGGACATTTCAGCAGGGATCACACGGGTGTGTGTTGTTAGTCACTGTCAACATGACAGATTCCCTCCTTGTGTTTTTTTAATCTGCGGGCCACACATCCATGTAATGCAGGTACAGTTGTCACATAAATAACACAGGTAAGAGGTCAGTGGCGGATCTAGAACAATTATTGGGTTGGCATGAAGACTTTAAGGGGTAGCAGAAATACATACATGCTCATTTAATTGCCAACATTCACATCTATCAATATGAGCTTAAAAAAAGCCCTCAAATTATGATATTTGAACACAGGAACATAATATTGTTGTGGCATATGAGTAAATCATTGCATATATATACCAAAAGGTGGCATTAGAACTCAATGTGTTGTTTTCTTTACTTATATACAGCCTTTTAAATGTTATTGTCTCATTCTATATCTCGTCTTACATTAGAAAACTCCACTACTGAGTGCAACTGTTTCACTTCCGGGCTCATCTTTCAGAACCCAGCTACTCTTTAGAGATACAAAGTAAAGCTTATGATACCTGGCCTTAGTTTCACAACCCTGCTCTGCTAAACCAAGGCTACACAACCTCCAAGTGCTTTTACACACTGGACCCTAAAGCTTATATCTACAGACGTATGAAAGTATATTTTCTGTAGTGCTGAGGGACATCCAATATATTGCTTACATTTGAAAGAAGTTCAAACTGTTGTTGCCTCTGCAGACCAAAGAGACAGAGCAGCCCGGTCCCCCCCGTCCTCAGGCAGGCTCTGGTCCTCCGAGTCCTTCTGGCCCCTCATCCTCAGTCCAGCCCCCCAGCTCACACTCACTGAGGCAGAGGAGGCACACCTCTTCACCTTCAGCTGCTGCAGCTCACACACCAGCCCCCATGTCTCCACCAGCATGGCCTGCTGCTCCAGTGTAAGTCATACAAGAAGAAATGATGCATCTTCTTAACTGTATTAGATTTCATTGGCATGGCTGGACATCAAAAGTTTCGGAGTATGCCGGATATGTTCAGGACAGTTCTTTCGTAACAACTATTCCCACACTATCTCTTCCTTTTAATATTTGTGCTCTTCTTCCAGGCAGTTAGTTGCTTCAACAACAAGGCCCATCTACTTTTATATAACTTGTTCAATTGTTGTGACATATTAATAGTTTTTATGACATTTTTATATTTGCTCATATTTGTATATATCTTACTGTGTTTATGTAGGAAACGTTATACTCCAAATCAAACTCCTTGTATGTGAAAACCATCTTGGCATAGACCATATTGTTGTTCTGGTTCTTTGACTGCTGTGTTTGGTATCGGTGTGAGCGGATGTGAACAGTGTGTTTCTCCTTCAGGCCTCCACAGATGCTCCAGCCAGCCTTCCCCACCTACTCTCTGTACAGCCCCCAGCAGCTCATGTGGCTCCAGCATGTTTACGCTAGACAGTATTACATGCAATAGTAAGTTTTGAATTATACGCTTTTATTTCTACCACTTTACCATTGGTGTGAGTTCTTCTTTAGCCTCAGATTCTCATTGTGGATGCCTTTGTCCTGCTATGTTTCCTTTTCTTTGTGCATCATTTGCAATTTAAAAAAAAAACACCCTTCAAATCTCCAGAGCTACAGAGCTTCATAAATTGTGCTCTGTAGTACCATATCATGATGAATGGTTTCTCATGTAACTGTCTCCTGACATTGTTATATTAATGTTGGGGTAATATTTGATTAGCATTTTATATTTTGAAGTGGAGGTCCTTCATTTTTTACAATTTTGCCAAATCAACTTCTTAAAAACTAATGACCAGAAAGGGATCTGCTTTCTAGTTAGGTGTCTTATTTTCACAGTATATTGAAAGAGGCAGAAAGAGTCTCTCTGAGAGACACTTTTAAAGCATTATCTAGTGAGCTGGTGTAAGCCTTCTAAAGTGTATCCCTTCTATAATATATTAATTTAATTAATTCATACAGAATTAAATATATATATATATTTTTATGCGAGATCTAAACATTGTTCTTCTGCATCTCCTACACCAGGTTCTTTTAATTCATCTGCTCTTTCTAAATGTTTTGTAGCTGTTGTTCATTGTTCTTAGCTTATTATGAATATAATATTCTACTCTTCCCCCTTCCAGTTTCTAACCCTCCTTATGTTCATCTCACACCGACAGCCATGCAGCGCTGGCCGCAGCAGGCACTCTACCATCAGCACCAGCTACAACCATTGGCCAGTACCCTCCTGTTCCCGCCCACCAGGTACCTGTCCCAGCCCCATTAGCCAATCAGAATCCCATCGAAAACCTGCCCGCCAATCAGAACCCAGTGCAGGATGGTGCTTTCATCAACCCTGGGGAGGCCAACCAGAACATGAGGATGAACGCGCAGGGGGGGCCGGTGATGGAGGACGAGGACGACGTGGAGCGGGATTGGCTGGACTGGATGTACTCCGCTGCCAGATTTGGCGTTCTGCTCATGATTGTGTACTTCAACTCCAACCTGAGCCGCTTCCTGCTGGTGATGAGCACCCTGCTCCTCATGTACCTGTAAGTTCCATCCGTCCCTTTCTACTTCAACTTTGACATTTTCAGGTCCATTCTGGCTCATATGCTTTCCCTGCACTCTTGTGGGTCGACAAACGTCCTTTAAATCCCTCCAGTGTGGGGCTCTGAACCTCAGCGGCTCTTATCATCTGCTGCTGTTGGCTTCCAGAGCCTCCTCCAAAAGCATCAACTCTATCTTCATATTCATATTTTAATCAATGGCCTAATAGGAAGTAAGGATCTTTGAGTTGTCAACTGAAGCCTGTATGTATTCAATTTATAAAAAAAAAAAAAAAAAAAAAAAAATACTATTAAATAATTAGGTTATATTTAGTGTTGTAGTCAAAACCACCTTAACCGAGACCAAGTCAAGACCAAGACCGGAGTGTACCAAGACCAAAACTTTAAGAGGTCGAGACCGAGTCAAGACCAAGAAGACCAAGGCAGGGCGAGACTACTGTGAATCCAACACTACACGATACACTTACAATACCATGTGTAAGATACCATAGTCAATTTGATCTGAAATATCCCAATCATCATAAAAAGACACACATAAAAACAGTAAGATATAAAGTTGAACTTGAATCATATTTACTAAGTGATTATTTTCATTTAAAAACAGTAAATTAGTAAATTAGTGAAATTATTGTGGTCTGTTTAGCCAAATATAATTATCGTTGAATTTCCCGACTTGTTCACTTGAAGGCCGTTTGAGTGTGTGTTGTTATCGTCATGTTGTTCCTTTACTTCACATGTCCTGCTCTCACACTCTGTTTGCTGTTGCACAACCCTTCACCTTGACACAAACATGCCCGCAGGTATATTCAATGTGTTTGTTTGTCAAGAAAGAAGTATGAATTGCTAAAAAAAAATGAAGAGAAATAATGTGTGAAAAAAATACAATGTTTACTTCAATTATAAAAGAAGTGAACTTTGATCAAATTGAAGAGAGAAACTGTGTTTGTGTCTGAAGGACACAGCCCGGCCCTCTGATAACAGATACAAGTCAGAATGAGTTTGACTGATTATTACTCACCAGCAACCGTTGGAAGGTTAATGCTCAGAGGCATACACGTCATGCAGAAGAAACTAGGCCCCATCCTGTCACTAAGAGGATCTAAAGATGTTGTCTTTACCATGCTCTCACTCTGTCAGGTGAGTACATGTGTAGACAGTCAGCAGAGGTAGTCCTGTCAGATTGGCTCATTGAGTCAGCATGTAATGTTAGGGCTCGGCCCATCTGGTCCCGTTGATTGATGTTTACTTCCTTAAGTAACATTTTCTGGGTTCCTGGGAGTGTGTGACTGAACATATTTTAAAAAAGTTGCATTTTCCTCAACCATTCTTAAAAAATAACAAGCCAAAAAAACTAACTGTGTTATCCTAATAATGTGTAGTAGAATTAAGGAAATGAAGCGTTGCCTCACTTTTAACAGTCCAAGTTTTTCTTTTAAACCAGTGTTTAATTCAAAAGATAGTTAATAGCTGATGGTTAGCCCCAACCCCAGAACCTGCTTTATGCTGTTCACATAACACTAAGAAGTGCCTTCATATAAAACATATGTTCCCTTTATTAAAATCTGAATGTTCTGTGCAGAGCTGTGCTACAATCCTTCCTTTCAGGGTAAACCACTAAAGCACTGACTTGTAAATACAGTAGTGACATCCTCTTTGACTTTGAATTTATTTTGGTTTCCTCTCCTCCTTTTTCTCAACAGACACACTGTTGGTTGGTTCCCCTTTAGAAGACGAGCGCAGGTCCAAGGACCCAACCCCCTGCAGCCCCCTGAAGTCCAGCACAACCAACAGAACGAGAACAGGAACCCTAACGCAGTAAGAGAACATTTCCACTCTGCTTTACCTTCATTCAACTGAAGTGTTATGAACTCTGTTACACATCTGGATATCTCAGTTGTTCAAGGTCTCTGCTAGCTAAAGTAGGCCCGATAGACCACTGTGGGTTGATCTGCTGATTGAAATAATACACCTTTGATGGAAAACGTTGGGTTACATATTGTAACCCTTGTTATATTAGCACAGGCGGAGCCCTCTACTACCATATCCTGCGTGCATTCTCCCACTGAGACTTCTATAGACGTAGCCGGCCTAGGGCGGGCCTACCTGAATGCGCGCGCATCACACCGTATAAAAGGAGGCCTCGCCTCCTGACTATCATCCTATACCTCTCTTCAGCGAGCGGAATAGAACAGACAGTGCTCTGAGTAGAGGGCTTCGCCTGTGCTAATATAACAAGGGTTACAATACGTAACCCCCCGTTATATCTCTCACAGGCTCCGCCCTCTACTGGACTCTATGGGTACAGTGGGTGGAGCCCTGATGTATACGCGCACTGTCGTCCAACACCACCATTCCACCCTACTGCCCCTGACCGGCTTTTCTGGTCAGCAGCTACTGCCCCACATTCTCCTTTAACCCGGTTGTGACCGAGGAGAAATCTGGGCTGCGGCTGACAGAGCGCACCCTGCTGCGCCTACCTCGCAGAAAGTGTGCTCAAAAAACAGTGCCGCCCCCCAGAACTGGGGAACCGCCCAGTGCTGGCCCACCATCATCTGTGTCATCTGAGTACCACGGCGCCCCAACGTGGTCCAGAGCCACTAGGATGTATGACAGACGTTCTCGCCTCACTCTCCCCAGGAGAGGGAGAATGAGACGCAGCGGTGGAAAGGCGTAGAGCAGCTTCCTTGGCCATGGCTCGTGTGCAAACGCGTCCACCCCCAAGGGCGGGTCGTCGCTCAGGGCCATGGAGAACCACAGGGCACAGTGGCTGTTGCACCGGCTGGTGAACAGGTCCACTTCCGCTCTCCCGAACTGGGCCCAGATCTGCTTCACCACCTCCGGGTGAAGCACCCACTCGCCTGGCAGGGGGCCGCCCCTCGACATGAGGTCCCGGGACATGGAGGGCTCTCAGAGAAAACACCACCTCTGAGGCCCATAACCACAGCTCCTCCGCTGTGGTCAACAAGGAGGCGGAGCGGACTCCGCCCTGCCTGTTGATATAAGCCACTGTGGTGCTGTTGTCGCTCCTGACCATTACATGTCTCCCCTGAATTAGGGGCATGAAATGCCGGAGAACTAACACTACTGCCCATAGCTCTAGGAGGTTGCTGTGTCGAGACTCTGTCAGAGCCCAGCGCCCACCTATAGCTATCTTCAGGCAGGTCCCTCCCCATCCTGTTCCGGGCGCGTCCGTGAACACTGTGATGTAGGAGGTCACCCGTCCCAGTGGAGACCCCCTCCGGAGGTGGTCCGGAGACCCCCAAAACCGGAGGTTGCCCTCCACTGAGGGGGGGATGGTCACCAGCCGCCGTTTGAGCCTCTTGGGGTCCAAACGCAGGCTGGAGAACCACCTCTGCAGGCGGCGCATATGTAGTAACCCCAGCGGGACCACCATGTGGGCAGCCGCCATGAGACCCAGAGTCTGCATGACAGTTAAAGCTGTCACTGTTGCCCCCTGTCGCAGCCTGTGCACCGTCCTGAGAAGGGACGCACGTCTGCTCTCTGACAGGGTGGCACGCACGTTGAAGCGCTGTGGCCACACATTTGCTGAATGTGCGTGGGGATAGGGAATAACCGAACGGCAGCTTGTTGTATTCGTAGGCTGTTCCCTGGAAGGCAAAACGCAGATACTTTCTGTGCTCTGGAACAATTTCCACATGAAAGTACGCGTCTTTCAGGTCGATGGTGGTGAACCAATCGCCTGGCTGCACAAGCCCTAGTAACTGTTTCACAGTTAACATGCGGAATTTCCTGCAGGAAATATGACGATTCAGGCCCCGGAGATCTAGAATAGGTCTGAATTCCTCTGTTTTCTTGAGAACCAGGAAATACATGGAATAAAGACCCTTCTCTCTGTGCTGAGGATGCACAACAGACACAGCCTGTTTCTGCACCAGAGCCTGAATCTCTGCTAAGAGGAAACCCATCTCCTCCTGGGAAGACAGATTTACCTCTCGCATGCCCATAAAAGGAGGTGGGACGCTGCAAAACTGGAGTGAATAGCCCCGTTTCAGCGTCCTGTCTATCCACCTTGTCAGTACACAGCTGAGTTTCCATTCCCCATAACATTGTGTTAATGGGAAAGCCCTCTGATGACCCGCTCCGCCGCAAAACTCCCCATGAAGGGAAGATCTGACCGTGGGGGGTCGAGATCTTACAGGCGTAGTGTGTCTTTACTAAGGCCCCTGAACGCACCGCCACGCGCCCTTTAACAAGTGCGGGCGTTGCTATAATGCAGCCCCTACCACTATGGTAAACAGCATTATTTGGAGTCTTAGCTTCAGGCATAGAGTGTTTTCTAACAGAAAAATGTCGGTCATAATGTCCCTGTACCCGCATCGCACCATAACAGTGCTGCCTGCGGTTTATCACTCTCATCTGCGCACTCCCACTAGCCTCCTCACTAACAGGAGCTACAGCTGGGGCAGCGAGTGGGGAATTGGTACAGTCATCAACATGTGCAAGTGTATTGTGGAAACAAAGGACACTCAGACTTGGATACAGATCAACACCATCTTTATTTTTAAAAGTTTTGAAAGGGATCTGGGCATTAAATAGGAAGGAGGCGGGATTCGCCCTTGCGTCCCCGGTAGAGAGAATCTCCCCCCCACCGAGGCGCTACCCTCCCCCCGCTAGTCAACTCCGCGAAGATGGAGCTCCCCACCCGTGCGCTCTCTGCTGTTGCGGAGCCTGCCTCGGTCGGGCAGCCCTTCCCCGTGACTGCCGGTATGCCTTTTATACGGTGTGATGCGCGCGCATTCAGGTAGGCCCGCCCTAGGCCGGCTACGTCTATAGAAGTCTCAGTGGGAGAATGCACGCAGGATATGGTAGTACCCATAGAGTCCAGTAGAGGGCGGAGCCTGTGAGTGATATAACCCTTTGTGTGATGCCTTGTTTGTCTTTGTCTCTTCAGGGGGAGGAGCCTGCTGACAGACAGAGGGAGGAGCCTGCCGCTGAAGAGGGCGGGTCAGAGGGACACGGACCAATGGCGGCAGTGTTAGTGCCTCCTTACAGGGTGTCAGTCATGTGGACGGCCTGGGTGTTCCTTAAAACGTTCTTCTCCTCCCTTATTCCTGAGGTTGCCCAGGGGATGGCCAACTGATAACCTAGGATAGATACCTGATAGAGACACCATGAATAATCTCTGGAGCCAAAGGAAAACCTTTCAACTCAAGAAAAATAAAATCAGACATGACTGTGACATTCCTATTAGCAATAGTTAAAAAAGCTGCGGTTTGACATTGGTCTTTCCTCAGAGTGTGACGCAAAGTTGAAATGCCAGCAAAATAAAAAGATGCCAGAATTAAAAAATATGTGGACTGGTTCCAATGGACAGAGAGGACCAGAATTATCAGCAACATTCCGAACAACTGTGCATAGTTCAATGGGATCCCATGCTATTCCAGCTCTTTATCTGACCTCTGTCTACTGATAGTGGGTTTATGCTCATCCTCAGGCTTCCTGCTGCGTCACACTGAGACCCTTACCCATGAAACAGCAGCGTGTAGCAGCCAAGAGTACCAATAAACCTTTCACCTGACTGTTGGACTTTTAACTACATTGTTTTGCTGTGAGGAGGTTAATAGACATGGACTTAAATTCAGCATGTCTGTGATAAATGTGATCAGGATCAATGCTTTCCCACTCATGAGGATTATATTAACCATGTTTTTTTAAGTCAAAATCCACTGCAGGCCAGTCCTGTGTCGGATGGCTCTCTGTTTTTTCCACGGACAGATTTATTTTGGATTTACAAACTGTCCCTGCATGGAGCCTGGGTTTGATTACAGCTGTGGGTCATGTTGTTGTTTTCACTTGTTTGACAGACTATGGAAGCAAAAGAAGCTAGCATAATATAGTACAAGTATATTATTTAGAGATGTTTTTTTTGTTTGTTTCTCAATGTACTTGATATTCTAATTCAAACGGCTCCGCTTTATCAGTTTAATTCAGATTATTTTGGCATTTTTCTTCTATAGTCAGTGTGCTTTAGAAACTGAACATGACAGACAAATCACAAACATCCAAATGATTCACACCAGTTCATTATGGGTAGACTTCTTATTGAGGTCAGCTGGTCTTTGGTACCAAACGCAAAAAAAATGTTTTATTATATATATATATATATATATTATATATATATATAAAATATATATATATATTATATATATATATATATAAAATATATATATATATTATATATATATATATATAATATATATATATATATATATATATATATATATATATATATATATATATATATTTTATATATATATATATATTTTATATATATATATATATATATTTATTGTAAATCAAGTTTTGTAAATATACTTAAAGTTCACAAAGCACTTTACAATATGTATCTTATGCAAGCCTCTTTACATTTGGAGGAATTATGATTTTGTATTCTTCATGGAAAGCCTTGTAATATAAACACAAGGCCTCACAGGCTCTGATGTGATTGAGAGTCCAGTCCAAAATCCTGTTCAAACAACACGTGAAAAGTTTAAAGCCAGTCCAGTGCTGAGAAATTGCAAAAATGTTGCTTTAGTAGAACATTTGTTATGGTTTTCAGTGTCAGAAACGGTTTAGAAATCTATGGAAAGTTTCTCATAGCTAAGATTTTAATTTCTTAATGAAGCTATCAAATCACTCCTACAGTACCTTTAAAGCATTTTAATCTCATCATATTGATTGAGAAACCTGTACTGTCACTGATCAGAAGCATGAATGACTTTTCGTCAATGCATTTACTGGTCACTTTATCAAGTCATTGATTATGCTTGATTATGGTCACTATGTTTATGACATTTATTGGTTTGTCTTTCTTTGAGAACGGTGGTGGATGTTGTAGAATGAGGTGTGTGTTGAGGAGGACTTGCAATAATGGATGCAATAAATCTTTATACCTGTAACCGGTTCAATGTGTTGATTTTTGCAGATATGGTTTGTGAGGACAGTGTTTCAGATTTAGAAATAAACAATGCAACCACAGTTTATGCATATACACACACACAGGGTGTCCACGTCTTAAAAAGTATTAAAAGTTGATAAATCAATTTAGCGAAAATTAAGGCTATTAAAAAGTATTAAAGTGCATTTTCCAAGGTATTACATTTTGTAGCTTGTTTTCAATAAGTATATAAATTGTCCAAAGAGGTTGTATTCTACAGTTTGCCTGAATGTAATCATTGCGTAGGTGTGTAGTGTGATTCTGTGTAGTTTAGTGGGAATGCTGATACAGCATTCCAACTATATGTTATGCTACGGACAACATTTGTATTATTCCGCCGACTTATTTTGGCCCTCTTCTCCTCCCACATTCAACATCGCAGAAACTCCGTTCAAAGATCAAAATGTTCAGCTCGGTCGGGAATCGCAGGCTATTACTTTTATCATTCATAACTTTCATAATTCCAGAGATACATCCCATAATTCATCACATTTTTAACCATTGAAGTCAATGGAGAAAATCTTCAGACTTGAACAATCTTCATGCGACTTCAACTGCTAACTCTTCATTCATACTTTCACTCAGAAACCTCATTCCAACTTTAAAATGTTACACATCTTTCTGACATTATTCGTGTAACACAACTTTTAAATCTGATTCTTACTTTTAGAGATATTAAACATTGTTCAGACCTTGTTAAAGAGGTTTTCTTCAGATTTTAACATTAACTAGAGTGCGTGATGTCACAGCTAGAGTGGAGCAAATCTTGAAATTTGCCTTCATCTTTTGTTTTAAAACTGCCATAATTCCCAAACCCTACATTCCTGAGACATAATTTTTCATGACAAACGTAGGAAAACATCTCGTAGCTTGAGAAATGACAAATAATTAAGCAAAATAATTAAACAAAATGCCTCTTGAGGGCATGAAGTGACAAAAACGTTCAACATGTCTCCATTAAAACCCATTGTAATTTCAGGCTGATATTTCCTCACAGCAGCAGCCACACACCTTTAGTTAAACTGCCAAAAAGGCCACATTATTAACCCGAAAGTACACAAAGATGACACTTCAGATGCTCAACTTCCTTGACCTGCTTCACGTTTTGAAATTTCACAGATATCTGTTATCGTTCTTCCACAAAACGTTCACATGTAAGAGGTTTATCTCTCATTCAGAACAATGCAAACCTTTGATCTCTACAGAGCTCGTTAGCTCAACTATAAACACCTGTGTAATGGAACACGATGATGTCATCACTCGAACTGACATGCTCAGAGCAGCAGACTTCAGATAATGGTTAATGGTCGTGCCCTCAACAGCTCTACGTCAATTATGGGGTGTCATATGCCGTTCAAGAGAAGAGAGAGAGGGCGATCAAGAGTCAGTTCTAACTGTTCATTTTAATTCTCTCTCTCTCTCTCTCTCTCTCTCTCTCTCTCTATCTTCCTCTTCCTCAATATCTTCCTGTATCTTCCTCTTCCTCAATATCTTCCTCTATCTTCCTCTTCCTCAATATCTTCCTCTCTCCATCTTCCTCTTCCTCAATATCTTCCTCTCTCCATCTTCCTCTTCTTCAATCTAAATTCTTCACTTTCTTCTTACACATTACATTTCAGCATAGCAGTTTAGCGTCAGCTTTTCAGCATAAAGCATTCCCACTAGCAATTTCTTCAGGAATTGCATTCTCTAGTTTATTTATGGCATCCCGTTGGATTTGACGTCATCTGAACAGGACATCGCACGCTCACTGCTTGATAGCGCGCAAAGGTCCGTTTACGCCGGTTGTTAAACAACATCGTTATGGGGAAATGCAAGTCTGCGTCCAAATGGTTGGAAGATAAGGAGGAAGGACAATCAATACTGTATATAGTCAATGTGAGGTAAAGTGTGTCGCCAATGTAACCGGTTAAAACTCCAAGTGGCGATGAGGTCTTAAAATGTATGGAAAGGGTCTTAAAAAAGGTCTTAAAAGGTATTACATCTGACTTCAGGATTCCTGCATATACCCTGACACATAAACAGTGAACAAGCTGAATGTCATGTCACCATAGGACACACATGTTTGAGAAATGATAAAAATGAGGACCTTGAATAAACTCTAGCTGCACCTGACTGCAAACACACGTATTGTTTGCTTCAGACACATGTCTGTGTGTGGTTCTCTGCAGGACTCAGCTGGTGACCTGCATGTTTTCCCGATAGCTGTCAAAGTCTGAGATAAGGTGGTACTTTACATTCTGTGTCAGTCTCTTGAAGCCATTAGGCCCCAAAATACTTGTTCCCTTTGAAATACATTCGAAAAAAGAGAGGTCTGTAAAACAGGGGATAATAATAATTTAAATTAATTTGTGCAAATAGCTGAATCCATTGGACCAAGCCAGATTGGCATGGTTACGGAACATCACCATAAGATATACCAGATATGCCACAGGGTACTTTTTTCTCGAGAGTCAGGAAATAACCCTCCTCCAACGTTGTATCCAGTTCTCTTAATACATCAGAGGCTGTACTGAGGCACAACGTAGCTTTGAGCTTATGCTAATGTGAGCATGCTAACAATGTACTGCCTTTCATAGCTAGTTATGTATTCTCAGACTAAAACTAAAAGTTTAGCCTGATGATGACAAAAGTTATTAAAATCCATTCTGGATGGATTGTATAGGCAAGAATGACTGTTCGAAATGTCACGGCAAAGCATCCAATAGTTAAAGATTTGTATAGAAATTATGCCTTCTGCTAAAGGGTAGAGCTGGGAGCCCATGTTCAAATCCGGCCTGGATATCTTAATGGCTCTCATGCCCCCTTATCCCCACTTTTGAAACTCTCAATCTCTAATAAAAAAAAGACTAAACTGTCCCAAAAAAACATTTAAGCTTTCCTCTACTGTTGCTGCTCAATGAAAATACAGGAGATCATCAAGTCTTCAGGATCCATCGAGTCGGAACTATGAACGTCAGCTCAAAATGTCACGGCTTGAGTTTAAATGGGCCTTCCAACCAAAAGAATAACCTAATGCAGAGCGCAGACACTGAGGTCGTAGTCCAGATGTGTCTGCAACCTCAAATATTTGACCCCAAATATGCATACTTCCCCAGCACATGTCCTCAAACAACTCAAGTTCAAACTGACTGACAGTTTCCCGTGACCAGATTAACCCTTGCAGAAGATGTGCAATGTGGTCAGCTATGGCTGTTAACTCTTTGTCCCATGTGTTTTTAGAACGCTGTACACGACTCGGCCAGTACAATTCTTAGGGACTTGTACTTTACTTGAGTATTTCAATTGTTTGCTACTGTGTTCTTCTACTCCACTACAGTTCAGAGGTAAATGGTGTACTTTTCCTCCACTACATGTATTTAATACCTTTAGTTACTTCACAGATCTGGATGAATGATGTGAAATATAATCAAGTGTTAAATCAGACTTTAGTTCCACCTGGAGTAAATTCACAAGCTACCCTGCAGTATACAAAGTCATTCAAACTAGCTGCACCTTTACCAGCTTTGAGAACACTTTCATGATCAATCATTATAAAACATATCATATATATATTGTTCTGAAATGGACCAATCTGCACTGACTTACTTTTGTTACTTTAAATATATGTTGATGCTAATACTTTTGTCCTTTACTTGAGTAACATTTTGAATGCAGTACTTTTACTTGTAACAGAGTATTCCTACACTCTGGTACTTTCACTTTTACTCAAGTACAACATCTGAGTACTCCTCCCCCCACACACAAAAGGCTCTTGTTGAGCCCTCTTCTATATCAGTTACCCCCTTTGTTATCTCTAGTCTCTCTTTAGGTTCAACTCTTACTCTTGTTTCATCGCACTATTGTCTATGAAGTGAAACCAAATGTATACAGTTGCTATCAGAAAAGATAGACACTTTAGATTATAAGGGAATCACCATAAGAACTGAATAGTGTACGTTACAGTGAGCTTCTGGACATGTATCTAGCTTTCCTGTGAGCTTGTGCTTATTGAGTGAAGGTTGGACCCGAACATTGTGCTAGCCTTTTACACTTTGTTGAGTCTAGAAAAAAGATGACTAAATGAGTAGATTCATCTTTCATGCTGATCTCCAGCATGTAGTTTTAGATGATATTGTGAGGAATAAGTGTTTCTGGAAATGTCAAATGTCTTTGTAGACTGTGTATACTAGTTGTGATAACTGCCCTCAGTGTTCTTTGAGCCTACAGTCTGGAATGTTAGAAATCTACAGGCAGTTTCTACTTTGAATCAGTGTCTGTTCAGTGCTGTTGTATCTCCCTACTCAGCGCTTGATCATTTTAAAAATGTACTATTTCCCTTTGCACAATCTATAAAGCTTTAGATTGTGTTTATTTACCTGAGGTTTTCTAACACTGGCATCACAGAACCTGCACTTTGACCAGTTTACCTTGGATGACAGACACATCTGAGTCAGTGTTTGTCCATCAACTGTGAATCCCACAAGGTGTCCTTCTCTGATTGGATGAAGGAAAGGCTTTCCACTACAGTGGCCTGCCCTCCCTGACAGTTAAAAGAACAAGGCAGGCAGGCGGTCGGGTTCTCTCAGAAAAAAACAAGGAGATTCCAACAGGGCTGTCTGAAACTGTGAACATCACAGTTATCTGGGAGCTGGAGTCTTCGGGCCTCTGGTGGCAGTGGATTAGAAAGCCTACTGCTCGGGAAAACACAAAGGAAACGTACACTTCCAAACATAAATTGAACTTCAACTGTTCGCAGGGTTAGACACCTCAAACCGCTCGGACAGAGGTGAAGCTCTCTTGCACAATGTCTCTTGATGTTGTCCCCTCGCTGCTGCTCTTTCTCTTTGTATTTGGGGCGTCCCACGCCTGCCTGCAGGACCGCGCTGAAGCCTACAGGTTCACGGGAGCTGTGTGCCGCCTGACCTACCCTGCTGCTGTTGTTTGTGAGTGGATTTTGTTGTTAACCTCCAAAGTTACCATACTTGATCAAATTAACAATTCTTTTGATAAAAAACAAACAAAAAGATTGCTGTAAAAGGAGTTAATGGGAAACACTTCAATCGTTAATGCAGATTCAATGCTATTAATTCCATATATCTTCATATTCCAGAGGGTAATAACGTTTTTCTTCATTTATTCTCATTAAATATGGAAGTACTAATGAGTTACCAGTTGCTTTGGTGTGTGAATACCCAGCTGTATGCAATGTGTCTGTCCTTAAACAGCATGATGTAACATTCTGTATTTGTGTGACCTACAGTAGTACCTCAACAGCCTCAGGGTGTAATTCACTTTGAAACCATTGTCAGAAACATGGACAGCTGTTAGTAACGTGCATGGTACTTGCAAGTTCATTATAAATACTTATAAACTAAGATTGCAAGTTTACAATCATGCTAACACAGCGGAACATCAAGTAAGTGCAACAGCAAATAGCATGCTATCTCTAATTACTTACTAGTCCAACATCACAAAGCCCAGCATGCATCTGTCCTGTTTTTATGTTGTGAAGCTCTCGCCAATGATAAAGCCAGTCAGAGAAGTAATCTTGTTTGGTGGTGCATGGCTCCTGTTCTGGCACTACTAACCCCCCCCCCTATAGTATAACAACACAGTCTCACGGCATTTCGTGTTATAGTCACAAAATTAATCTATTGATTCGTGTTCACCAACACGATTTTCCCATTTTTTTCGTGTCACACAGAACGATTTTAAAAGCAATGTAAATAATAACAAATTAGAAGGAAAAAGACATTTAAAAAATTACAGATTTAAGTATTCTGACACAGAACGATTTTAGAAGCAATGTATTTCTATTGGTAGTATGTTTCGTGCCTGCACCAAATAATAACAAATTAGAAGGACATTTAAAATAAATAAATACAGATTTCAGTATTCTGAGGCTCTGAGCCATTTATTTTCCTCACAGACGGCAAAAAAACTCAGACATTATACAATTTAAAATAAAAGGGATAGGGTTAGGTTTAGGGTAAGATATTGAGTAAGAACATGTTTTTATGAACCACACAGCTTCTGGTCTTCCAAGACCCGACCGGACAAAAAGACGTGGTGCAGGCACGAAACATACTACCAATAGAAATACATTGCATTTAAAATCGTTCTGTGTGACACGAAAAAAAGGGGAAAATTGTGTTGGTGAACACGAATCAATAGATTAAATTAATTTCGTGACTATAACACGAAATGGCGTGAGACTGGGTTGAGTATAAAGGTAAAGTAGCTACATAATGTTGTTCTAACTGTCTTTGACCAGATGTGTGTTTGTGTGCTGCGGGCAGTGAACGAGAAAACAACCAAAGTGATTGAGGCAGCGTTCCAACATGCCAGATATCCCAGTGTGAAGGGAGAGAAGTCCCTGTTCCTTATAGGCACAGTCATATATGGCCTGGAAAAGTAAGAGGGCACACACAACCATAATACACAGATGGACACGCAAAATGTCATAAAGTCATGTCATGTTTCATCTTTCACCCAGTTTGGAGATTCACAACCTGTCGATTGGTCAGAGTGCATTTCAACTGTATCCAGGGGAAGGGATCTCCATGGAAATAACAAATGTGTCGGCAGTCTTTAAAGGGAGAATCCAGTATGGATACGGCAGCTGGCTGTGAGTCTGTGTGTGACCAGCACCTGAACACTGCAAATCATTCATATTGAGAACACTTCTTTGACATCAGCACTGCAACTCCTGTATGTTGCTCTGTCAGCATGGTGACATCACTTCCTTTGCAAACACATTTTCCCAGTAAATTGATGCGTATTAATATGCCATTTGTATTTCTTTTTTCATGTAGTGTCAGCGTTGAACATTCAATTGACTTTGAAGTCGAATCTCAGATTGATCTCGGAATCAACCCCAAACTCTGTAAGTGCTTTATTTTGTATGTGTGCTCAGGGATTAGGGCTTGAACGTGAGTGCAGTAAAACAATGCTTGAGTCGGCCCCTCAGGGTTCGGAGGGTGACTTCAAAAATGTATTCCATTACAATTTCTAGTTACCTATAAAAAAATCCATCAAAATATAAAAGTAATGTAACCTGATTACTTTCCTTTTTTTTTTTAGATCACCTCAATATCAAATATGCAAATAAATACAAGAGAAAATAGATATCAATAAGATGTTTTTTTGTTGTTCAAGTATTAGCCTACAGAACAGTACAGCTTACAAAGAAGATATAAGATCTGATCATTTTACAACAAACATATGTATATATTGCCTTAAAATTGATTCAATTGGATTTGTCTCATACAAACAGCCTTAAGTTAACACATCATTTTTATTTATGTTGGCAAATCCCAAATATTTTCTCACATTACATTTTTAAAAGGTTTGTTGTATAATTATTCAGTCCTTCAGCAAGGCAGCTGCTGATTCAGTATACTGGAACCTATTTGTTCCAACTGACTAACTTTAAATCTTTCCTTAAACGTCCTCACATCTGTTCTGTTTGTGTGTCCTCTGTCAGACTGTGCAGAGGGGAAGGTGGCAGCAGACACATCGGACTGTTTTCTTAATTTTCACAAACTCAGTCTGCATCTGCAGGGCGACAAAGAGTAAGCAACAAAACTGAACCCTAATGATGTTAACAGCAGTATGCATGATAATGTGTGTCTAACCGTGCTGTGTTTGCTGCCTGGATCAGACCCAACTGGCTGAAGAAGCTCTTCACTGACTTCATCATCTTCACTGTCAAACTGGTAGTAAAGGGACAGGTGAGGACCAAAGAAAATAAATAAAGTATGAATCACTTGCATTGTAGCCAGACTAAATGTTGACATGTCTTCTTATAGTCAGAGTAAAGATAACACTACATTTAATATGTTTTCAAATGCAGATTTGTAAGGAGATCAACAAGGTGGCAAATATACTGGCAGACTTCATACAAGAGAGAGCAGGTGTGTGCACAATGTGTGTGTGTGTGTGTGTGTGTGTGTGTGTGTGTGTGTGTGTGTGTGTGTGTGTATATGTGTGTGTGTGTGTATATATGTGTGTGTGTGTGTGTGTGTGTGTGTGTGTGTGTGTGTGTGTGTGTGTGTGTGTGTGTTTACCTGTATATGTCTGTGCTTACAGAGCAGTTCCTCAGTGATGGAGACATCAGTATGGACATTGGTGTAGCTGCTGCCCCTGTCATCACTGCAAACTACATAGAGTCCTACCACAAGGTAAAGGCCCCTCCACTGCATACAACCTAAGACTAAAGGTAGGGACACACCAAGCTGACACCAAAGAACTGACACAGACGGACCCGACTGTTGTGTCCCTCACGTCTCCTGCATCTTGGCCATGTGTCGCACTGGAACACACCGCAAAGACTTCAGCCGACGGCCAAGAAGCACGTACAAACTGCGCATGCGTGAGTGGCAATAACTCTCCTTACCAGCAGGCGGCGGTAGTGTGTATTCGTCATTCAAAAGAGGCAACAACCGGAAGACAGACTGCGTGATAACCGAGAGAAGAAGAACAGACTGCGTGATATAAACAAACAACAAATAGCGTGTGCGTTCCATGTTCCCTCTACAGCGAGAAGCTCACGGGGCTTTCCCGAACCTGTGTCGAGAGCTGGAGTTAAATGAAACCTCAGATTTGCCTTCTTAATCGTTTGTTTGGTCCCTCACTTCCGTTTCGCTTCTCATGCACTGATTCGCTAGCTGAACAGCCAATCAGAGTGATTTATTTGACCGACAGCCTTTGGCCGATTGCCTCGGCACGGCCGAAAAGACACGACGGTGCGGGACACACCAATCTGAGTAGGGCGACAGGACGCTCATCGTCGGCCTGACATCCATCGACGGCCAAAATCGGCTTGGTGTGACGGGGCTTAAGACTAAGCTGCTTGGTTTTGAAAAAAGTCCATCAATAGATGAAAAGAGAAACTGTTCAACATTGACTGCAGGGTGCTTTGCTAGATTGGCAAATGCAAATGTATGGATATTCCCCAATCAGGAACCTTTGATAAATGGTGAGGTTCATGCTAAACTTAAATCATGGGTTATCGTGCACAGCAGCGCTGACTTAGAAGAGAACAAGAACTCCAGGTGGCGCTCTGGAGAGCAGCCAGGCTGTGGAGGCAGAGAAGGATCAGGATCCCTACCCTTTTGTTTTAAACAGGGCAGATGTGTGTAAATCCTTTAAAAGGGTTAACCCACACAAGGCTCCTGGACCTGATGGCATCCCTGGCCGTGTTCTCAGGGTGTGTGCAGTTCAGCTGGTAGAGGTGTTCACAGACATCTTCAACAGGTCCCTGCTGCAGTCTGTAGTCCCCACATGTCTTAAACACTCCACTATCGTTCCTGTCCCCAAAAAGACAATAATCACCTGCCCCAACGACTACCGCCCAGTAGCACTCACCTCCATCATAATGAAGTGCTTTGAGCGGTTAGTCAAATCATTCATCACCTCCTCCCTCCCGGACTCTCTGGACCCCCTGCAGTTTGCCTATAGAGCTAACAGGTCCACAGACGACGCCATAGCCCTCACCATCCACACTGCCCTCTCACACCTGGACCAGAGGAACACATATGTGAGAATGCTGTTCATTGACTACAGTTCAGCATTCAACACCATTGTGCCCTCCAAGCTGGTCATCACGCTCAGGGACCTCGGGCTCAACAGCGCCCTCTGTGACTGGATCCTGAACTGAAGGATGAACTGAAACATCACATCCTCCACCCTGATCCTCAACTCCGGAGCCCCTTCCCGTCCTAATCTCTGATAGTTACGAGACATCTGGATTACCAGGAAGCAATGGAGAGAGACACACCTCCATCACCATCAGCAGGGCTAGGGTGGAGAGAGCAGCTGTATTAGATTAATAGTAAACAGCAGTGTATAGACTGCAGTCATCTTCAATAGAATTCCAGTTCATTAAAACAACGTTTTGATATAATAATAATCTCCTTGTTTTGAGTATCAATACTTGGTTGTCTTTCTGTTCATCCAATACTTATTGTTTTTTCATAAACCTTCCAGGGGCTGTCCATCTACAAAAACGTTTCTGCTGTCATCAATGAGTCTGTGTTCCACCCCAGTCAGCTGACTGAACACAAGATGCTCTACTTCTGGATCTCAGGTCAGCAGTGAGCAGTACTCTGCCTCTTGAAATGTGGAAGTGCAGGTGCAATAAAATAAAAAGTTATCTTAGATGTGAACTTCTAGACTTCAAATGCATCTAAATAATCTCTTTCCAACTTTTGGTGCCAGTGTATCAAAATGTGTTTCCTGTGTGAGCACCCCAAAGTTTTATGTTAGAAATATATAATACCAGTCTCCAGCACAAAGAAACTTCCAGATGCTAACTTGCATATGTTGGGCAATTAGCATAAGTTGGGTTGAATATGGCATTAAAGGCTATGTAAACAATAGTAAAAAAAAATGGCTTGTGCGATTCAGACAGTTTTGGAGTGTCTTTGGTTCATTGAGGATGCTGGATCAATTCGGACATTTTCAGGATCAAAAATGGCAGTTTTAACCAGAAACAAATACCCTATCTGTACTCTCTGTGGGATGATTTTGACCACCATGAGTTGTACTGCAACCATTGGATATAAAGAGCACAAGATGAAAAGTATTACCTCTACTGAGGACAATTACAGATGAAGCGTCTTATTTTGGACAGTTTAAAGTGCGAGGGTCGTGATCGGTTCATGCACGTTCCGTGATGGCCGGCCGGCCCCCAGTCAGACTTGATACCGCCCCCATGATAAATACATTTAATTATTGTGAAGCCAGCTGCAATGGATCATTGATCCACCAGGGGGTGCAGTGGGGTTCCACACTGGAGTCATGTGAAATCAACTTCTAAATAATAGATGTTGTTTAGTCGGAAAAAACGAACGAGCCGGCTCTCCCGATTTTTAATCCTAATTTAATCATCATCATTGATGTTTATGTTCGCCGAATTGACATGAAATCACTGACAAATATGAATATTCTGTATTCAACTTCATTGAAACGATCAGGATGGGTGTTATTTTTCCCCACAATGACCAAGTCGCTGCAAATGATCCCATGTATTACATGTACATGGCCACATTCTCAACAAAGTTACGTAACGAAACATTCTGTATTCCTTGCTTACTTTTTATTTAATGCTTTATAACAGCTGGAATAGTTCGTTTAGAACAGGCACCTCACTCGCAATCTGCTCCTCCGCAACGCCTACCACCTACCTCCGGCTGAAATTATGAATGTACAGTAAGGCATAGTAATCATAGATAACACGGCAGGGTCCGTTACAGTTTGTTTTCATCTGATTTCAAATATTTCAAATGTCTGAAGTTAATAAATACATTCTCAGTGTTCAAGTCAATAATAGTCATATAAGAAAAGTACTGATCTAATAACAGAGATTTTATAAGGACTTTTCAATGTTCGACATCGCTCATGTGAAATACAGTAAACTGGATGTTGTGGTGCCGAGAGGCGGGGTATCAAAAGTACAAGCTAAACTTTTATTTAGCATCTGAACACACTTGTAAACAACGTGATGCCCGGGAAGCGAAGACCCGGCGGAAACAGCTGGTCTGGTTCACTAAAATGTCCGTGTACAGTATATCTGGTACTAATGTATAGCGGATCTTTGTTAAGATCCATATGTCACGGATAGATATTATATATAGAGATGGGATGGCAGAAGGTGCTATATATATATATATATATAATTCCAAAGCTGGTAAAGACCTTTCAAATTTAGCAATAATAGTCATATAAGAAAAGTACTGATTTGTTCTTGAATATTATAATAAAATAAACACCGGCTGTTGTTATGCCTGCTGTAACGTTTACTTTCTCCGTTCTCCGCTTAAGTAATTATTACTTCCTGGTTAGCTTTCCGCTCGAAATTTAAATCTGAAAATGGCAAAATAACGGAGAAAAAAACGTTCAAAGAGAAGACGACAACAATTGTCACTTGCACTTGTCATTTAGCATCTGAACACACTTGTAAACAACGTGATTCCCGGGAAGCGAAGACCCGGCGGAAACAGCTGGTCTGGTTCACTAAAATGTCCGTGTACAGTATATCTGGTACTAATGTATAGCGGATCTTTGTTAAGATCCATATGTCAGTAGAGATGGGATGGCAGAAGGTGCTATATATATATATATATATATATATATATAATTCCAAAGCTGGTAAAGACCTTTCAAATTTAGCAATAATAGTCATATAAGAAAAGTACTGATTTGTTCTTGAATCAACTTTTTTATGGAAAATGTTTTATGTAATTTTATTTCATTTTAAATAAAATGAAAGACATTCACAGTTAATGTAATTAGATATACATTATTAATGCCATACATTTTTAAATGTAATTAGATATACATTATTAATGCCATACATTTTTGCATAAATATTTATTCAGTATGATAGCTGTCTAACAGAAGTTAAATCCATTTCTCACTTATTCTGACAATGTACTTAACCCCAAATAAAAGAACCCAATAAAAATAGTTGTTAAATAATAGTGAAGTCACGTTGTAATAACAATAACTCATCTCTCTCGGTTTTTTTTGTTTTCTTTGTGTGCTTTGCCAAAAGCCACTGTGTCAAGTGTCCTAGTTGGGTTACCGTAACGAACAGCAGCCGGCTCTCGATTTTTAATCCTAATTTAATCGTTTATGTTCGCCGAATTGACATGAAATCACTGACAAATATGAATATACTGTATTCAACTTCATTAAAATGTTATTAACGTGCCTAAACTCAGTAATTCACTAAAAATTACTGATCCCTCCGCGTCGCGGAGGGATCTTGATCCCTGGGTGTTATTTTTCCCCATAATGACCAAGTCGCTGCAAATTATCCCGCTTATTACATGGCCACATTCTCAACAAAGTAACGACATGACTCCCAATATTAATTAAAATGCTTTTATGGATTTAGAAAATATTTTTATTGATTTAAAACATAGTTCTATGTATTGATTTAAATTTACATGCATCCGCTAAGAAAAATAGTCCGTTGTTACCGTTTTTTAAACAGTCAGAATGAAACGGCAGCTCTCAGCTGTGTGTTCACACTCCTAACTCTGATCTTTCTTTTCCAACAGTTAAGTTAACTGTAGGTTACTCTGAGTGACAAGCTTACAGTTAGTGAAGTAACACTTTTTTTTTGTGAGTCACGACCTCGCTGTTTCATTCTAACATAACGCTCCAAATATGACTGTTTCCACTCGGACTTCAATACAGCAACACCATTGTTTGGTTTCCATGGTAGCGTGTCTCTTTAGTAGCGTGCACTCCTTTCCTGTAAATTACAGGTCCAGCCAGGCAAAACAGTAATATGAAATATGAACGTTAGTTTTTAACTGAAATGATCAAATAAAGTCAAAATGTCACAGTGTTTACAAACATTGACCATACCGTTCACCAGCCCCCCACCCCACTCTTTGTTTAAAACGAATTGGCCATCGGAATGTGTGTGTCCCAACCCCCCCCTGTGATATCTCTTCACAGGGGGGAGAGAGTTAGACGCTCGTGAATTGTCAAGGGGGGGGGGGGGCCTCTCTGCACGGAGGAGCCGCGGAGAAGTGAATCACAGTGATCTGCTATTTTAAAGTAAATTCAACACATATCGACCCTAAATATAGCATATATTAAGAACGAGAAAGTGTTAACATCGTTTTTTGTAAACATATGACCAATGTGCGAGGGTGATGACATCAGAGCATCGTCCTATGGGCTTAGCCCCGGACAGGTACAACAGGTATTCACTCAGAGGGGGGTAGTTACCCATTTACATGTCAAAAAGCAACATACAGTAGGCGGGTGGGGGATGGTGAACGTTTACATTTCTCTACAGCAGTGGTTCCCAAACTTTTTGTGCCCAAGGCACACCAAAGGACAAGTAAAAATCTCAAGGCACACCTATTGTGCGAAATAGCCCTTATAACACGTGTTATCACTCATATCATGTAAAATATCTGTAAATGTGCATAATTATTTACTAATGCCAAATAAAATGTATAGATAGAACAATCAGTGGTTCAAGTTAGTATATTCCTCAGTGTAACATATCCACTAGTTGCAAAGCTTAAACATTTTTATATATTTTTTTATTTTAAGGGAAAGGATGTTTTCACTACTCAGTTTGTCAACTATGTTACGGACAAACTTGATGTCATTACAATCATTTGATTAAGTCCTGCACTTCAAGTAAAATCAAATTTGAAAGGCTCTTGAGTCTATTCTACCATATATCCAAAGATTTTTTAAAGTTTAAAAAATAATTGTATTAAAGTTTTGTTTTTTCATGTGATATGTTCAGCACTGTCATTAAGTTTAGGGATATTTTGTATTATAAAACTACCATACAGGTCATTTTGATAGTTTTAAGAGATGTCATGTAAAACTCCAACCTGTGTAGATATACATTATACTATAAAGGATATCAGAAGCACTATTTTAGATATTTTAAATTTGAAAAAATGAGGTGCAACATAGTTGACAATGAAAGTCAAACATTTGACGCAAATAACATAGTTGACTGGACACATTATTAACCATCAGCACTATGTTAATTTCAAGGCAGAAGTGCAAAATTCCATTGATAATGATGTGTAATGACGTCTACATGTCGTACAAATTGTCAACTAGGTTACCTGTCAACTAAGTTACTACAGTTATTACAGTACTGGGTAACTCAGTTGACAGGTAACCTAGTTGACAATTTCCCTATTTTGACCCATCATTTCAATGGTAGGCCTTGCCTGGATGACCACATGTCATTTTCTTGAACAGGTTAACATCACATTTGCACATATAATTGAATTAAAATCATTAAACAATTGTAAACCATAACAATGTACGTAACATTGTTGATTGTCAATGAGTATATTAATTGACCATGTGCTATTATACATAAAATATTGTAAAAATGTAGAGGTCAATCACCACAGTGTGTTCAAAATGTCTGCCAAAGAGGAACATGGCATCATGTGATGCTGGTGACATGGTATTGGGACAAACAATTTTTGAGTTAAAGGGGGAAGTTCTGTTAGTAACATAGTTGACAGAACTTTTGCGGACATTCATATATTAAGATATTTAAATTATTTAAAGGGGGAAATCAATTAAAAATATGTTATTATTCTTTAGTATTTAGACTTTTGAAATAAATGAATCATTTTTTAAATTTACTTTAATGGTTTTTATTCATTATTTTGAAACCAAGACGCCCTCAACTGAAAAACGGACATAGCAAAAACTGACAATTTAAGAACATCATGACACATTTCAAGCTAAATAAAGCATAGGATGCACATAATGTTTGTGTGATATTATAACATGCTTTCCAATAATAGGCAAAATATGATATTTTTGAAGAAAATAGTTAGAATAATTATAATTATCATCAATGGACATCAATGGACATGGAATGTACCCTAAATTGTAGAATCACTCAGCAGTTACATACACCAAACCTTCCAGTTATATTCCTATCAATATTATGAAGGCTTTTACAGAAGGGTTTGGTCATATATAATTCATAGCCTGAATTATATAACATTTTATACCTAAAAACATGGTGAAAATTGATATTTTAGGGCTGTTGACAGTATTTTCTGATTTATGGAGTGATACAAAGAGATATCCAAAATCCCTTCTGTAAAAGCCTTAGATACTAATATGACTACAAAATGAAACAATAATTTTGATCCTGGCTTTATCCAAAGTTCAGATTTCGGTTCCTGAAATGTGTTAAAATATGCGCATATCTCATGAGATAATGGTTCATTTGGATATTTAAACATGCTATTTCAGAAAACTTGTAATACAAAAAACAATTGCCTTATTGTAAGTAATTAACTGGAGAAATATTTAGCTGATATCTTTAAGTTAAAAATACCCTATTCACCTGGGGTGTCTCGCCTTAATTAGATGTTTGATAAGTGCAGATCACATAGTAAAACACGTACACAGATACATTATTTTGTATTTTTATTAAATTCGACAATGTCAATTTCACTTTCCACTATGTCCACCGTTGTTTTTCACAACCAATGGCAGAACTTTATTGAGGCCTGTAATTAGTCAACTACAGGTCTCTTGAGTCAGTCTTTTTCTTCCAAAAAGCTTGTGACAAGATGTTATTGCTCTTGGGGCATTAAAAACAAGATTTTAACTTTAGTTTTTTATATAATATCTGCATTTTCTATTGTGAAAAACTAAGTCTTAGTTATTTAATATATAGCGCCATCTCCTGGTTAAACCCTGAAATTGGAGAATAGTGGGAGGGCCTAACATTCCTGAATACTGGTCTTTGGCAGGCAACTGACTGGCAGTCGGCAGGAAGCTGTATGCTGGGGTCCAAAATAAGAGGCTCCATCTGTAGTTTCAAATAAATAAGCAATCTGTCCAATCCTAATAATCCAGAGTCCCCTAAATCTTCCAAATCGAGTACAAATGTTGGCATTTCTTGTTAAAACCGACTGCCATTTTGGATACTGAAAATGTTAGAAATGGACTCAGCATCCTCAATAACCCCCAAAACCACTCCAAAATTGTACAAATCGGTGAAGCCATTTTTGAACTCAATGCTAATTAACGCAATTTATTCTAATTGTGCAAAGTGCCCAACATATGCAAGTTAGCATCCGGCAGTTTCTATGTGCTGGGGACCCTACTATACATAAACATTTCTAACATATAACGTTGGGGTACTCATCATTTACGGGTTCACAAAAGTACTTTATGAGCTGGCAACTAGGCTAATCTCAGAGAAGCCAAATATAAATTCAGTAAAATAAATCTAACTTTATGCATCGTCAGTATTTTAGCCAATGAGCAGCAGCGTTAGCAGCAGGGTGGGTCGTGTCTCGGTTGTCACGGTGAAATGGATCTGCTACAGCAGTAACTTGTGTTTAACCCCAGACCAGATTCTGAACCCCATGTTTACTGCTGCACACCATGATGCCCGATTCCAGCTCAACATCTCTGGAGCAGAGCTCAGTGTGAGTACATCAGAGCTGTGAACATACACATGGAAGGATCTGGTATCTGTTCATAAAAGTTAGCTTAGATAGTACCTACAGCATAGAGATGATATGAACCTCACCTATTGGTTCTGCATATGTTAAAACCAGAGTTGGAAAAAGTACTGAGATCCTTTACTTAAGTAAAAGTACTAATAACACACTTCAAAAATACTCCTTTACAAGTAATTGTTGTGAGGTAAAAATGTTGTATCAGCTAAATGTACTCAAGTATCAAAAGTGAACGTACTGATTGTGCAGGATGGCTCTTCTGGGAGTTTTGTATTATAATAGAATATTATTTTATTCAGTTTTTATTATTAGAAAATACATACTAGAGTTTTGTAATGCTGTAAGTTGTCATTGTGGAGCAAGTGTTATACATTGTGTACTACTGAGTAGATTAGTAGTATATATATATATCATATAAACACAAGTTGTTATTTATGTTAAAAGTACCTACTCACTAAATAAATCAACTAAATAAATGTAGTGTAGTACAAAGCACGATATTTACCTTTGAGATGAAGTAGAAGTAGCATAAAATGGTAAAGTACAAGTTCCCCAAAACTATACTTAAGTACTTGAGTGAATGTGTTATATTCCACCATTGGATAAAACTACTGTCTTTAATCTCTCCTCACCAGAACCATGTGATCGCAGATGTTGAAACTTAAGTTTGTGATATTTCATATCTTGTTAAGTCTTACATTACATTAAATGTAATTTCAGGAGCTTTTCAAGACCAATCTCTCCAGTACCATGCCTGAATATTTCAGAAAGGTAATTTGTAAAACCTCTTTATTCCTGCACAATCCAAATACACACATACACACCTTTGTCAGGTGATATTATGTTGTGTTTGTGTGTTCAGTGTCTGCTGGAATCAGGCTCTCCACAGCTCAGAGTGTGGAGTTCATCTGTTCCCTACCTCCACACCTCCACCTTGGATACGAATGTCCGGGGGACGGCCTCCGCTCAGCTGCACTGTGGGGGGGGCGGGGGCTCCAACTCTCTTCTTCCAAGCGGTATTATGCCACTTATTATGTGACGTTACATGTTCATGTGGTTAAAAAAACCTTTGTGACGCATCCTACATACCAAAAGACATTCTCCCTCTCACCCACGGTGGAGTTTCCTCTGTTCTGCAGTGATCTCCAGCTGGGGGAAAGGTAGCCGAAGAGGAGCTTCTGCAGTTGTTGGGGAATATGTGGAAGATTGTAAAGCAGCTCAATAGTCTCAGTTAGTCTTTTGCATCAAAATAGTTAACAAAAAAGGATTACAAAGTTAGCTTGAAATCAATAACAGAATGAAGCATAAATAAAGGCTCAAAGTAATACAAAAACAGCTTATATTGTTGGCTAAAATTCATTGATAAATAGTTGAAAAGTTGAGCGTCTACAAAACTAAACATAGGAGTGCAGTAGTATAAAAAAAAAGACCGATTCCAAGTTCAGGATGATATCCAATGTGCCAACAAGGTTCCATAGGATGTACAATGCCTCTAATGAGTCTCCCTCTGTGAAAGAACCTTCTCTTTAATAATAATATGTTATATGTCTGATGCTCATATGTGAATTTGCTGTACTTCAAGGCATTTGAAAGGAAACAGGTATAGCCAAACAGGTGACTTCTGCTGGCAGACCTTTTTGTATCTGTATGGACTGACAACATTTAAGACCACAACAAAGCGGATGCAGGATATAAGTGGATGCAAGTATACTATTTTGACCTTTTAACTTTTAGCCAACATATCCACATCTCTGAAACATTGAAACATTGACTTTAATAAATGTATTATTTCAACAGATTCCCTATAAGAGTGTTAGTACAATATTAAATATTATTAAAGTATTGTCCCGGCAGAGGCTCAGTCAGTAGGGGCTTGGACCGGTACTTGGAGAGGTCCCAGTTCACATCCTGGGTTAGGGTTAAGGTCACAATACACTCCCCCTGCTTCTAGTACTAGGATGGGTTGAAAGCTGAGACCAAATTTCACTGTGTGCTGTGTGCATGTATGTGTGACATTGGAGAGGGTTTAATCCTTAATCCTAGCATTAAGTTGAACCTGATATTTGTTATTTAAATGTAATGTTAGTGCTTTAAACAAACCTTATACGCAAATGTGTAATTTGTTGACATAATACATTTATTTAAGTCAACGTATCAGTTTTTTCAGTGCAGTTTATCACTTTTAGCGATCACTTATTTGTTATGAAATAACAAATAAGTGAGCCTTAAATTAATACATTTTAAACCATAATGTGACTCACAAAAATACCTGATTAATTAAGAGTTTAATCTACTTTATATTATTATTAAGCCTAACATTCAGACAATAATAACTAAAGGAAAATGGCTCTAACATACCAGTCCCTAATTGCTTATTACATAGCAATTACCAATAATAATATATCAACAGAGTCATTTTAACAAAACATATAACATCCATCCGTAGCATATTTGTATACTCAAGTCCATAGTATATTGCATACTTTCAAGTCCATGTAAGACCAGTACTGAGTGTGTAGGTCTAGTACTATTTGTCTGTAATGATCTGCTGTTCAAAAGGCAGCCTTAGACCAAGAGTCTAGTCCAGGGGTCGGCAACCTTTTTGATATGAAGTGCCATTAAAAGAAAATGTGTTATCAGCGTGCCAACGATCGAGAATTATCAACGGGGGGGGGGGGGGGATTGAGGAGCTTGACGCTCGTGAACTATCAACAGGGGGGGCCTCGCTGCGGGAAAGCCGTGTGTGGACCTGTCAGCACAATTTACATAATTCCGAATTTAACAAACACATTTAAATAATTGGTTGAAACGGCATAATAATAAGGACGATCGTCCGTTCTGTGATTCTCCAGAACACACATGTTATGATATTAGGGTCATGGAGAGTGAGATGAGATCGCTGTCCCTTTAAGAGAGAGAGAGAGGGGTGTGGCTTGTGCATGTGCATGTGTGGATGGTAGAGCGACAGTGAGGGAGCGTGTGTATGTTTCTGGAAGTGAAACGAGGCAGCAGAAAAACAGAGGTCTGTGATGTATTTTGTGAAACAGAAGAACAACTAAATAAATGCAACGGCCTCCCAAGAAGAGCTCGCCTCTCTCCAGTCATTTAAGCTAAAGTGGGTTATTGAACCTGAAGCTTGTTGCTTCTGCCCTGGGAGACGACAGAGAGTCATCCCCCCTGTTTCCTCGACTACGGTCTGGGAGCCGACAGGAAAGTTCAACACACAGATGGCCAGTCCGCCCCTTTGTAGCATATTATTTCAATGAGAGATGAGCAGATCGCCACTGGGCTTTCAACTAAAGACACAGCCACGCAAAAACTGTGGTATTTTTACAGCTCCTTATGGGTACTGCTTTCCTCTGTGGTGAAACGATCAGCCCTGCACCACGGAGGAAAGCGGCAGAAAGTCACCTGGAGTTAAAGAGAGCGGGGCTGCGCTGCGTGCATGGCTTCCTTCTGCAGGTAACGGGGAGACGCGCTCTGGCGGCGGTATCGATCAGGATCCGAAAATACAATTTAAATATTTTGCACACTTATTCCACTTATTCCTAGCGTGCCAGGGGTTGCCGACCCCTGGTCTAGTCCTTTTGTCTAACAGTCAGAGGTGCACGTGACTGAAAGGCTAAGGCTTAGTAGGCTCAGTCTATTGCCTCCAGGAGCAGACATAACTTAGTTATGGGTCTTTCAATGGTACTAGTCTTGGTTTTAACCAGGACACTCCTAACAAGTCCTTTTGAACCAGGAAGGGTCTTAACTACACGTCCCAGGAGCCAAGTGTTCCTCGGTGCGTTCTCATCAACGATGACGACCAGGTCTCCGGGGGTGAAGTTTCTTTTGATTGTATTCCATTTGTTCCGTTCTTGCATCAAAGGAAGGTATTCCCTGGTCCAGCGCTTCCAAAACAGGTCAGCAAGGTATTGCACCTGTTTCCATCTCCTCCGTGAGTACAGATCCTCTCTCTGAAAGAGTCCTGGGGGCGAGATTGGATTTGTTCTTAACTGAAGTAGGTGATTAGGTGTGAGGGGCTCAAGGTCGTTTGGGTCATTTGTCACTGTTGTGATTGGCCTATCGTTCATTATTGCCTCAACCTCACACAAGGCTGTGTGCAGAGCATCATCATCCAATGTTTGTTCCTTCAAGACAGAGTGGAGGATCTTTTTAACCAGTCATATTAGCCTCTCCCACACTCCGCCATGGTGAGCTCCAGAGGGTCCAATCAATTCCTTCTTTGAGTAGTGTTTGCTTGATTTTGTTGTTATCCAGTTGTTTTACAGACTCCTCCAGTTCCTTTTGTGTGCTGATGAAGTTGGTGCCTCGATCTGTTCTGATGCTCTTTATTGTGCCTCGACGACAGATGAATCGACAAAGAGCGTTTATGCATACAGCTGTGACTGGCAACTTCCAGGTGAACAGCACGGCTTACCAGGCAGGTAAAGATTACTCCCCATCTTTTGACATGAGCTCGGCCACGTTTCACCTCGATGGGTCCAAAATAGTCTATGCCTACATGAGTGAAAGGTGGAAGATCAGGGGTTATTCGATCAAGTGGGAGATCAGCCATTTTCTGCTCTCCAGCTCTGGGGCCTCATTTATAAAGGGTGCGTACGCTCAAAAGATGGCGTACGCCAGTTTCTAAGCAATGTTTGCGATTTATAAAAAACAAACTTCACGGGAAAATGTGCGGTCCTCCACGCAAACTCTAACCCATGCGTACGCGGTAAGCACAAAAACGGGAGAGACGAGAAACTGCGACACCGTTGGCAGAAGGAAGAATGGAGAACATTTTTTCAAAATAATACCATAAATAAAATGTTACCTCTCCTGTAGCCTATCATATATGAAGAATTAATTCGCAAAAATTGATTGAAGCCAATCTTAAAATGATTAAACAAACGCCTTTTTGAGACTCCTCAGTGCACACAAAAACGTAACTTGTTGAAATAAATATATACGGATATGTTATTTAAAACCACCTCGAATATGTTGTGTTAATGTTATGAAATGTTTTCTCATAAATGATGCGGTAAGCAGGAGGACAGAATTACGTCTAAACTGAGGCCGTTCTGCATTTCTATAGGTTGTAGATACGAGCATGGTTTTATATACTATCACGTTTAATCGTGTTTTATGCCGTTTGCCAAGACTTGATAAATCGCTCATAAAACACAGGAGGTATGGAAACTAAGAACACCATATATTTGGTAGATTTGGCAGCTGATATTACACAACACATTTGTTTTATTTCATTTAAGTGGTGGGTAGAGTTGCTGCGGGGGGGTTGAGACGCACAGGCTGCAGTGGAGACACAGCGCACAGCTGATTGACAGCTGGAACACAACAATTAATTGACTCCACTCCGCAGGGATCCCCCGATACTTTCTTACAGTTGCTCATCATGGGGGGGGGTCTCCTGTCCCCGGCACAAACACACTGACACACTGCCTGAGGAAGGTTATGTGTATTTTGTCATTAACTTTTTTCGGACCACTTATTTATTTATTTTTGTGACGATCCGACCTCCATGCTGCTACTCTGGTTCAAACTGCATCCACCGTTAAACAATGTGATTTGTCTCCACCTCCCCAAAAGAACCAAAATCTGACTCGGTGTGAGATGTCTTTTTTAGCTGTTCTGTCGTCATTTCCTGCGATCTTCTTCATGCAGTCAGTCAAAATGAATATTAATACTGGGCGTTTCTTTGACTATTTATAGGCAAATATGGGCGTTACGTGAAGCCCGCAAAAGCTGCGCCGCATTTCGAGTTGATTGTGATTTATAAAGGGAAACGGGCATAGGGCGTGCCGCACGCACGTCCTACGCCGGTACGCAGTGTTTTATCAATCGGAAAATGTATGTGTGTATTTATTTGCTTTGTCCTACATAAGCAACCTTCCCACGTGAATCCTACGCAAGGCTTTATAAATGAGGCCTGTAGGCGTCTGCAAAACACACAGTTCTTTATGATCCTCCATGCTGAAGAGTTAGCAGCGGATAGCCAGTAACGTTGATGGAGTTT